CATACCTGTAAAAAAAAAAAAAAAATAAATAAATAAAAACGGAGTGTCAGAAGGATAGTTTTCCCTTGACGCTACTATTATTTCAAACACCATCATTTGACAATGTTTGTTTTAGAAAGCGATGATTAGAATTGTAAAAACTTAAACGTGATGAATGAATTTTTTTTTTTTTTTACAAAAAAATATTAAACACTTTATTTACAAGAATTTTATATTTACAAAATTCTAAAACCTAATGCAACATTTATCACTTTAAAAGTAAATTTAATTCATGGGGCTATATAGGGACTGCTTCAGCCTCCTCAGGCTGGTTAAAAAAAAAAAAAAAAAAAAAAAATTGTCTTTGCCTTAAACAAGTTAATTCAGTATGATTTGTCTAAAAAAAAAAAAAAAAAAAAAATTAATTTTCAGAATGAATTAGAAAAGTTTATTTTTAAAATATTAGTTTATGTGGGGAAATGACTCATTCTAGAAAATAACCACGAACGAGCTGCCAAAAAAAGGGGGTTACATTTAAAGCAAATATTCTTTCTTTCAAGACGTAGACTCTCACTGCCAGATCCATCTTTGTCTGTGACAGGCATTCTTGAGGAAACAGTCGATTGATTTCCCATTAGGATAAGATTTTTAAAAGATAAAAAATAGAATTAGGACTAAAATTTTAGAAACTTTATTTTATGGGGCCGGGTATAAAGGAGTTTATTAAAAATAAAATAATACTTTTTGTAATTAAAAAAGATTTATGAGTATTTCATTTATTAAAATTTCATTTTTATAAATGAATTTAAAAAAAAAAAAAAAAAAATGAAACAGTATGCCTATTTTTGACTGAAAATATTGCTTCTTTTTTTTCCTCTTACCCCCTACCCACAGGACAATGTTATTACTTCTGAGAGTTTTTAATTTACTAATTTCAATGACAAGTGTAAATGGATTTGTTGGTTTGGTTCTTGATGAATAAACCAGGGTCCAGGTGTGTACAAAATACGATCTACAAAGGGTTCTGAAAATAATCCATCAGAAGAATTTCAGTGACTGAGTTTAATTTTTTTTTTTTTTGAAGTATGATTTTATTCAGTAACAGACAAAAAAATTCCAGTCTAGTGTAAAAAAAAAAACACTTTTATAATTTTAACATTGGAAATTCAAGGAACATTTTAAAAAGATTGAGATGATGATAATAAAAAATAATAATCCAATATACACTTTTATCTTCATGTACAAGTACAAGAGAAAGTTATTTCGCGAATAAAAACTAAGCCTTTAATTCGGCATAATTGTTTACGTTTTGGTGCAAAACCTTCAAGCGGCTTTTTTCACATAAAGTCGGGTCTTTATGGAATACTAGGACTCCCTAATTGTGATCGAATACATGACCGTTTTAGCATTATTGTTAGAAAAAAAAAACGTTTTTTAGAAGTTGTATCGATTTATACTACTACTACTTCTATCAAGCCCCATAAACTTGTGAAGTACCGACAGAAATAGATCACGTACATAGTTTACAAAAATAAAGTAGCTTAATTGTGTGACACAATGTCGAAAGTATGGGGCACCCCGTGAGGATTGAACTCAATACTCAATCCGCAATCGTAATTGATCTCACGAGGCAAGCTTGCTAACCATTGGTTTTACTTTTATTTATTTTTTTTTTTTTTAGAACATGTCAAAGAAAGTGTCACTCTTTCCTGTTCAAGTGTATGGAGACTAATTCGGTCTAATTTTGTTTGGCATTTAAAAATTGAATCCATGACAACCCAACATCATAAAACTTTTATTGAAAATTCAAGGAATTTGAATTGAGTGTACAAAAAAAGATCTTATTTCTTTTTCGGTCACTTCGCAAGTTTATTATAGGTCCGCCGTTTATAACAAATTCATAGTACGATGTTAACCCCCCCCCTCCCCCCAAAAAACCGTTTTCTAACAAATGCTAGTCACGTATTCGGGTTAATTCAAATTCGCAACAAAATTAAATATAAAAATGTTATTTATTACATAGTTAGGAAGTTTTAAAGATTTTTTTTTTTAAAGTTTGCGCCTAAACGTAAAAAACCACGGAGATCGTATACGAAAGAATTACTACTTTCTTGTATGTAGAATTATTGTCTCAATTTGACATTAAAATATTAAAGTTCCTTATTGTTAACTTAAATTTGTTTTACTTTTATGAAATGAGAATTAACTGGGATTTTCTCGTTACCGTACAAAAATAAAATAGTGAAAGAAAGGTGAAAAAATGTTTTTAACATTTGTGCGGGTCTAATTTTGTACCGCAACCTGAAACATTCCAAGATTTTTTTCTCCCCTAAAACCTAAGTTTTCCAAATTACTTTTTCGTGTAAAAGTCTTTATATCTGAGTATTCAATTTAAAATCTATTTTCCCGCTCATATTTCATAAATTGTATTCATGTTAAAAACAAAAATATTTACATTACAAGTATTGATTTTAGACGTATGAAAACGAAAAACGCAGCATGTGTGGGGTGACTCGTATCCAAATTGCCAAAAAAGACTAACAAAGCCAACGTCTTAACTATTTGAGCCACAAATCAGGTCGAAAGAAATTTAGATTTGAAATGAAAATGATTTTCATATCGACATGATTTTTAAATGTAACAATGACATTGAAAAATTTTTTTTTTTACCAATGCAAAATTAGTTTGATTTATTTCAAAACGTTGTTTGGGGTTCAGATACAGAATTAAAATAAGGAGGTTAGTAAAAGTGTCGCCGAGATTGTTGTGGAATTTGGCGCCAGTGGTTAGATTTAAAACCGAGAATTCAAACTGATCAAGATTGGCAGCCCCTTAGAACATTGGCGCACATCTTCAAATTTCCTTTTCCCTTCATTTGGTCTTTCTGTAGTGTATACTACAACAATAATTGTAGTATTTTAACTAATTATTTTTTTAAATACCGATTTGGTTTACTTTAGACTGGTATTTATTCATACAAAAAGTACATCTAAAGTAAAACCAAACCGGTATTTAAAAAAAAAAAAATTATCCCTATATTTTGTGGAATCCAATTTAACGAAATTGGAATTTTTCTTTTTAGTTTTACACCAATTAAAAGAACTTAAATCAACTATTAAAAATCAACTTAAAACATTTTTATTTTATGAATGAACCTAATCGGTTTTCCCGCCTTACAAAAATCAACGAAATGACAAGTGAATATTTTATCAAATCAAAGTTGTCAACTGCTTTTCTAGGTATTATTCTCCCTGATTAGAATAAGTTTTTTTTTTAATTTTAAAGACTATTCTTACACGTGGCATTGAAACATCAATCAGTGAATGTTTATTTAAAATTGGTCTTGTGAACGTTTTCTATCAGAAAGATTCTTTTGATTTAAAAAAAAAAAAAAAAAATCCCAAACTCTAGAAAGATCACATATATAAAAAACAAAAAACTTTCATTTATGACAAGTAGCGCTCAATTTGAAGTCATTATTAGCCGTCTTTAATTTGGAACATTTTCGCATAAGCTTTTTCCTTGCTAACATTCAAAAAAATTTAATCAATTCCATTAAAAATTGAACATTTTGAATAAAAAAAATAAATGGATCAAAGAGAATTACAAAGAAACACATGAAACAAAACAATAAAGGCGATCGCAAGTCAAGGTACTTGCTGCCGCTTGGTCTTCAGAGAAACCCAAATACGATGGAAATGTAAACAATAAAAATATATATAGTGCAGAGAATTCCAGTCAATATAAAGAGGCATAAAAAAAAAGACCAAAACTGATAGCTGTTTTTATCTAACAGGTTGAATAAAGTTGCACTTAGAGCGCAGGTAGAAATTTAATAACAAATTATCTCGGGAGGAGAATATTTTTTTCCATGCATTTTTGCCTAAAAAAATATTATCCGAATGCGTTTGAATATTATTTAAAAATAAAATTTCAAAGGACGTTAAAATCAAAAAAAACTTTCATAAAAAAAATTGATTGCAGTTATAATAATTAAAGAAAATTTTCAAAGGGTACTAACCGAAATCAAATTTTTTTTTTTTAAGCTATTTTACAAGGATAATTGAAAATAAAAATATAAAACTTAATTTTCGATGGGAAATTTTTTATAATTTGTGCTAAAAAAATTCATTCTCTGGCATCAAGTAAAAATTTTTATTTAAAAATTATACTATTTTAATATCGCATATTTTTCAGCGGAAAAGATCTATCGTGACTTTGTTGGTGGCCCTTAAAAGGGCCTAGGTGCAAAAGATTGGTTCATGGCCAAGTTTACTTGCTGCTTGTGTATTTGGTGACAGCCTTTGTGCCTTCAGAGACGGCGTGTTTAGCCAATTCTCCGGGAAGGAGAAGACGGACAGCGGTCTGTACCTCACGGCTGGTGATGGTCGAACGTTTGTTGTAGTGGGCGAGACGGCTGGCTTCAGCGGCTATTCTCTCAAACAGATCGTTGACAAAGCTGTTCATGATGGACATGGCTTTGCTGGAGATGCCAGTGTCAGGGTGGACCTGTTTCATGACTTTGTAGATGTAGATGGAATAACTTTCCTTCCTCTTCCGCTTCTTCTTCTTGCCATCGGGGCGGCTGGACTTAGCCTTACCAGCCTTCTTAGCACCTTTAGAGCTCACCTTGGGCGGCATAATGATAAACAAGCTATCGAGATTCTCGTGAATCAATGACGGAAAATACGAATGAGTTCCTATATATATTAGGAGAGTAGGCTCCTGGCACGATGATTAATGCGAGTCATCATGCTAACATTTGTGTCCTTGTTTGTGATTGGCTGATAAAATCTTCACATAAGCTCTCCCTTCCTTCCTCATTGAAACAGGCTCCAGCGTTTTGATGCCGTTAAACGGTGTACATTTTTTTCTATCGAGCATTCTGATTCGTCAATAAATCGCTTTCTTTGTAAATTTTCGCTAGAAAGCTTTGGAGCCACTTGCCACGTATTTAAGCCAGGATTCATCTCATTAGCTTCAACCGTAGTTTTGCTATTCACACGACTACATCTATCAACATGTCTGGACGTGGCAAGGGAGGTAAAGTTAAAGGAAAGAGCAAGACCCGCTCATCTCGTGCCGGACTTCAGTTCCCAGTCGGCCGTATCCATCGTCTTCTTCGCAAGGGTAACTATGCCCAGCGTGTTGGTGCTGGTGCGCCCGTCTACCTGGCTGCAGTCATGGAATATTTGGCCGCTGAGGTTCTCGAGTTGGCAGGAAATGCCGCCAGAGACAACAAGAAATCCAGAATCATCCCCCGTCACTTGCAGTTGGCCATCCGTAATGACGAAGAATTGAATAAACTGTTGTCCGGAGTGACCATTGCCCAGGGCGGTGTCTTGCCCAACATCCAGGCTGTTCTTCTCCCAAAAAAGACCCAGAAGCCAGCCAAGTAAATGTGCTGTTCATCCAAAAGAATTCCAATGGCCCTTTTCAGGGCCCCGACACAATCACGAAAGTACTTCCATTCAACTACATAATGCAATATTGGTTTTAAAATTAATGTAATTTTCTAAGGGAGAAATTAAATGAGTTCATTAAAATCAATTGATTTTATTCTTTTATTCCTTAATTAAAAACGAAAGATTAGGAGATTTACCAAATCTAAATTAGAGGGTGACTTCGATAATGTTTTACAAAATGCGATTAAATCCCTCTTTAAGATATTAATCCTGGAAAAGAATTAAGCATATTAGGAATATTTCCTTAGAATTTTTTTTTTTAATTGATCAACCTATAAACACGGAAGTAAATCATAAACAAAAGCGTAAATATGGAGTTTTTACTTGTAAATCTGAAAACTAAAAAAATGAAGGGATAGGGAAATAAGTGGGATCCTCTAGCTGATCACAAACAAAAACTAATTTGTACGCGTTAGTGTTTTTTGACTTTGAAACCGAAAACTATACTGCATAAAATAAACGTTACGAGATCACAGGAAATGTAATTTGGCGTGGTACAAGGCCACGAATATGGCGCGCCTGCTAAGGGCCAGTCGCAGTAAAGGCGTCCTACAGGGCACGAAAAAGATTTTATGGTTGCGGTTTAATGTATAGTATAAAAAGTTAACGGAGTGAAGAGATAAGGGACGGTTTCTAAATGAGTATCAGTTTACCGACCGGGTGGTATCGGAGCCACTGATCAGGCTGAGGTTGTAAATTACAGTCGTAGCGGAGAGCACTGGTTCTCATTTCATGCAGTTAAGCAACATCCAGCCTAGTCAGTATTTAGATAGCAAGTAGCTCAGGGCTTTGTCTCACTATTGAAGCAGTAGATTTAATTCAACCCTATCCCAGTTTTAGACACTGTAAAATTTAAATAACAGAATAATTTTAAACTCGCTCAAACTATTTTTGTAACATGATCAATTGTAGAGAAATTCTCATAAGCCCACATATAATGCACGCACACAGGTTAAATCTGGCACAAGGCCACAAGTAGCGCACTTGGGTGATGATCGCACTAACCAAGTGAACGGTCGATATGACTATTTAACGATTGCTCTAGGGCAGGTGCCGTGAGAGAAACAGACACACGGATATTTGTTTTAAAACAAAACAGATGAAGCGAGGGGTTCTTCCTATTTACGCAGTAGCTAAAATTTCTTGATACTGTTTTATATGCGTTAAAAATTAAAATAGTCGCCTCAATTTAGTGACCTTTCCTGGGGATCAAAGGGCAGCAAGTTTTGTTAAGTTAGATTAAAAAATGTAGATAGATTGGGCGAATATTTTTTTTACGAGTAATAATTGTAAGAAGAAAGATGTTCGTATTGACACGCCTGTCAGGGTATGTTTTTTTTTTTTTACTTCAGACGGACATCGAATGCGCACACTGATCCCTACACAAAGATTTTCTTTAAATTAATAATACTTTTTAAACTTGACCTTCTTGTGTTACATTCGTGCGTGTGTGTTTGGGGGGGATTAAGGTAAATATGTTTCAAATTTCATTCATACACTTTCACCTTAAAACATTTACTCACATACATGTATGCTAATTTCGTTTTTACACAATGAACATAGACATTCACTCGAGTTGGAAGCACACCCTTATTTCCTTCTGTTTAATGCCTTTATTTTCACGATCCCCTCCCATCGTGACAAAGATTGGGCGTGTCACAATGAAATGACCAAATAAACATTACCCTTCTTTTACAAGTGTGACACTGACACATGTGACAGTTTTTTTAGTAGGTATGTGTCATTGATGCCCTCCTCAAACTTTGTTCCTCCTTATTATTTTCTTTTTCTCTCTCTCTCTCTCCCATTATTCTTAATCCTCTTATTTATTTTCTCATCTTCCTTTTCGCCACTTGCTCCTTTCCTCATCTTTCTTCCAGCTTTTCTCTTTTCTCTTTCCTTTTGTCTTCTTTCCTCTTTATTTCCTCTTCTTTCTGTTTCAAGATCTTTTCTGAAAATCTTTATGAAATTTCATTTCATTGCAAATTTTAAATATTTCAACATTTTTTCCGTCCCAATTTTAAAGTTGACAAACAGATCAAAAGTTGGGGTTGAATATTTTCGTGATTTTGTTTCAGATGTACAAAATTTCTTAAAAATGATACGTGGATGAGAAAATTCTTCATTTTGTCTAATTTTTATTATTTGAGAAATCATTTTTAAGATATTTGTTTTAATCGATTTTCTTTCAATACCAACAAATTCTACCCAGATAAACCTTCAAACTTGCATTAATTTAAAAAAAAATATTTTTAATATTATATAATTTCTTCTTCAACGGAAGATGACAATCAACACTTCATTTTTTATTTAAAATGTCATGACATTTATTTCAAACTAACGTTTGTTTACAAATTATTTATAAACAATAGTTTTAAATAATTCTTTCTAAATAATTAATGGCTTATTCAATTTAATTAATTCTTTTTTTTTTTTTTTTATAAGAAAAATTTTAATTTCGCATCATAAAATAATTCACATTTCAGATGTTTTGTTTGGAAAAAAAATAAATTCTTCCAATCAATGTGTAATGTACACAAACGTTTAAAGAAAAAATGAAGCCAACTTTCGATTTTGGTTGTTGTTATTAATGAAATTTTCAGCACACCATTTGAGAAAGGCATGAAACCCAAACCTTACACAACCTTAGCAAGTAAAAGGTTGGGGATCTAAGAAGCTAAAATTGAAATCATAAAAAAGAATGAGCCTTTGAATAATGTCTTTTCTTCATAATCCACCAAAAAAAATCAATATTTTCATTTAGGATGTCAAACCTTTTTTTTTAGTTTTGTTTTTAAATTCAATTTTTATATTATCAGTTATTTATTTTCATTTTTATTTCTTTTCTCGTTTTCCTTTCTTTCTTACTCCCATTCTGTGCTTATTTCTTTCCTCCTTACCCTCTCATTATACTCTCCTCCCTCTCTCTTTTTTCATCTTTCTTCCGTGTTTCTTCCCCTCTTCATTTTCTCTTCCTTCCTTCTCATTTTCTTCTTTTCTCTTCTTTCCTTCCTTTTGGCATTTATTTATTTTTCGTTTCTTTTTGTTTTCAATTGTTTATTGCTGAAATTTACGCAATTCGATATTTTTAAATGAAAGTGGACAGTCATTTTTATACACTCAAAAATATACGGTACGGATACACACTGCATATCTCCCCGGCCCACCTCGCGCGGTTATTTGGTGGCAACCCTTGGAGAGCAAGAAGCAGAGAATCATCAGAAACCGTCTTCCTTCAATATCCTTACAGATTTTATCAGTTTTTTTTTGTTATCATCCTCTTGGAATTTCTTTGCAAGGGTTTCTGGGATTATTCCAAGTACTCCATTGACAACTGGCACTACCTTCAGTATTGTATTTTTATACTTGTCCGTCATTTTTAATTTGAAATGTTTATTTCTGACTTTTTGTAATTTGAAAATGTTGCAACATTTTTGTCTTTTTTTTTTTAAAAAAAACAAAACAAAACATTTTTCAATGTTTGTTGTGTGATAAAAAGTTCACAAAGCTTTTTTTTAATCATCGACTTAAATACGCAATTGAGAAAAACATTTTTTGCTGGAAAGTTTTGCACACATCTTTTTTTTTTCTTTTACTCAGAATTTTCAAGTGAAACAATGGAACCTCCCCATTATTTCTAAAGTGCCGATTAGATAGCAGCCGCACAAGTCGGCATAAGTTCAATTCTCATTGAGTGATCTTAAATGGCTTTTTTTACACCAGACTAACAGCTAAAACCCCTTTCCTTTGCTGTTTTAATTTTAAATTATTTCAATTTAATTTTTATCAGTTTTTTTAGTTGATAATTCTGATTTTTTTAGCCAAACATTATTTTAGTTGGATCTTATTCTAATCTTTTCTGTTAATTTTCCCCCTAAAAAATTCTTCCAGAGGGAGTTCTTTCCATTGCAATCCGGTTGGGTTGACCTTTTTTGCGATCGCCCCAAATGTGGTCGACTCTATTTCTATTTTCTTCACCTCGATAAACAAAAAATAGATTTTTTTTCTTTAAATTGTAAAAAATTCCTTGTAAGTACCTCGAATATCATCCGCACTTACGAAATGTGAATAACTCCCTGATTTTTAGCATTTTTTTAATTCTGAGGGTTGGAGTTGCGAGGCAAGCTAAACAAATTTTGATATAAAAAAATTTATAATTTCTTGAGGTGAATGTGAATTATTTGCGATAAGTAACTTTACATTATTTTGGGGAAATTAACAGTAAATAACAAACACTAAAAAAAGATCCATTTTGATTTGTTTAAATTTTTAATTTAATAAATGGAACTTCGTTCAGTTGAAATTTATATTTTATTAAATTTTTCAGAATTTTAATTACGAATGTAATTAAAGATGCACTTTTTGAACAAAATAAAAGTTTTTTTAATTTTATTGTTTATTCTTTTTTTCAAAATTTTACAAGTTTGAGTGCAACCTTCAACACTGAAAAATATAATTTTTTTTCTCATTCTTTAAATTTAAAAATGACAGTAATGCCTAACAAATTTTAGTTTAACGTGTTTGAAAGTGAGTAGGTTTTTGCAAAGTACTTAAATAGCATTATTTACATTTTTCAGCTTGTTATCCTCACCTTCGTTGCCATATTCACAATATTTCGGCTGTTGTACGCTCCAGCCTTCTTCAGGTGATTGGAATTTCGAACCGAACCCTTTATTTCGTCCACCGGATTAGATTCTAATCACCTGAAGAAGGCCGGAGCGAACAACGCGGCCGAAACGTTGTGAATATTGCAATGAAGATGAGGATAACAGTTCAAATAATGTAAATAATGCAAGTAATCATAATACCTCATCTCGGAGATAGACGGATAATAAAGTACTTAATAAATAAAACAACAATAGTTAATAAATTTAAATTCTCACTTCAAATACAATAAATTTATATCTGACCTTGATGAATGATATATTTGCAAAAATTAAAGTTAGAAAATAAAACTTTTGAACTTTTCTTTATCTATTTAAACTATTTAAAATTATTTTTGTTTTTTACTAAATGTTCACCTAAGAGCAATCCAAATTAGAAGGTTATAAAATGAGGTGGTTGTATGTATGTAAAGTGCAAAATTATGAGGATATGTATCATATAGTAAGGCATATTGCCTATGGCCTCTCAAGTTTGGTTATATTTTTTTTTTATTATAGTTGTGTTGAAATATGTGGTAATTTGGTTTGCAATAAATAGTAAAATTTTTATTGACAAACAAAAGATAGCTATTCTAGTTTACGTAAAGAATTTGTAATAAGTCTACTTCAAGCTATGTAAATGTCGCTAAAATATATCACAAATAAAAAAAAATTCAAGACCGGTGTGGGTGAATTAGAGGGTGGCTCCATCTGAAGTGGAGGCATAATTACATTAGTCTAGGTGTTGCAAAAGGTCATAATTTGACCCTGCATATCAGAATTAGGAAAAGGTCAAGAGATGAGGTAGCAAACCATCAACATCCCCAAGTGTTATGTCTCCCACCAAAAACTACAGCATAGTCCAGATCTCATTCACAAAATGGTAAGACAGCAGCCCAAGTATTATACACCTGCTAATGTGATAGCCTCTTCAACGATCTGGATCACTATCAGGTGGATAATGCCAACCCAGAAAATGTTGGCCTCCAGCATCCTTAATGAAGAGACAAGGAAGAAGAAAATACAGGCATATTACTTTGAATAAACACATATCATCAACCCAGAAATTCAAAGCAGTAGAACTTTTTGAGTTACTTATGTCTAAGCAGGTGTGTGGTGTCCCAGGCACTAGGACAAGATAATTTGTGTGCAAGTAGAAAGACCTACTGGGAGCTTGATTTTATATCCAAAATATCTTCATCTTTGTTTTGATCATAGCTTTGGCCTTTCTAATGATTTCTGAAGTTCTGAGACAGTCATTATTTGGACTTGTATCTTCATTTTTGTTGTTTGGATCCCTGTATTTCAACCATTCAGCTTTCCAACTTTTATTTTGCAGCTGTTAATTTTCAGACATTATTTTTTTCAGTTTCCATTTCATCACTAGAGTCAAATAACAAGATTATGAGCAAGGTTGTAGAGCATACACTAGCTGAGACATAAGGATCTAAACAACAAGTGAAGATACTAGTCTAAATAAATCCTCAACTAATGTTAACATTTCACTCCAGAATTTCAGAAATTTTTCTTAAAAAAACATTATTGCATGCCTTTTCATTCATCTTGCTTGTTATACTCACAACATTTCAACCAATTTATCCTCTGGCTTTGTTCAAGTGTCTGTGTTGTCCTGAAGAAGGACAAAAGGTACAGCTGAAGCATTGTAAGTATAACAACTAAGATGATGATACTAGTTTAAATGGAAAGCATAGCCTTTTTAAAAAAATTCTAATTAGATATAAGATGTTTTAAAATAGGAAATAAAAATGTTTTAATTTAATTTTATAAAAAAATAATTTGAGTAATTTTTGATGTTTTAAAGTCACTCTAAGAAATTATTTCCAGCATTTTTTGTGGTATAAATAATTTTTTTTAAATACCAGGATGTATGCAATTATGGCTCTCCACAGCTTCTTTTATTATCTGTTTTACTATGTATTACTAGGAAAGATAGTAGAGTGGTTTCCTCTTGCTTTGTCCATGGTTTGGAATTCAGATTTTTCCTTCTTAGAGTGGTTCCCACTCAAGGCTAAGAGAGCCCAGTCTACCCTGCCATTTTATCTTATAGCTGAAAGAAGAGAAGAATTCGGGAGAATAGATGGATTCATGCCACCTCTTTGTGTGAAATTGAATGCAATAGGCTAGCCCAGCATTTGAACTCTGCTCACTAAGTTCCCTTTCCACACTGATGTCCATTGCACTACCCATACATCCAATAAATAAGCAAGTGTATTTATATTTTTTGTGTATATTTTTTAGGTAAAGGTTAATAAAAGATTGGATTTGTGGGAAGCCTATGCCAGCATTTTACAGTTTCAGAATAAAACACTAATTATTGCATCAAGTGAATAATATTAATGACATTCAAATTTATTGCATTAATTAAACAATATTAATGACATCATGAAATTTGGTTTTAAATATCCAGTTGCAAATTGATAAAAACAGATAAAAATGTATCATCTTTAATTTTCAAAAATTCCCTAAAATAAAAATTATTTGACAACTTTTTCTTCTGCCTTATTTTTCATCTCTACTTGATTTTATTTTTACATTCAGCAATGTGATAGAAAGTGAATCTCTGGAAAAAATGATTTTGGTAAGTGAATCTCTAGGAAAAAATTCTGGAAAATAAACCTCTGAGAAAAAAAAATTCTGGAAAGTGAATCTCTGCGATAAAAATAAAAAAAATTAAAGAAAATAAATCTCTGGAAAAAATAACATAATTTCTGGATAAAGAATTTCTCAGAAAAAAATTCTGGAAAGTGAATCCCTAGGAAAAACATTGCTGTAAAAACAGTTCTGGAAAGTGAATATCTCTGAAAAAAATTCTGGAAAATGAATCACTGAGAAAACCCCCAAAAATGAATTGAACAAGCTTGATCATACTGTTCTTGAGTTTCATCACAAACAATTGCATTCTAAATCCAATGTTTATCTCACCTGGACAGAAAAATGAATTTAAAATATTTAGTTTTGCTCATATTCTCTTCTTTCTAACAATTTACAGAACTTTTCTTAACTAAGTTTCGCACAAAGACAGCACTTTTATACATTTTCTTTTATATGCTCTATCTTTTGCAGGATGTGGGTGTTCATGGCTCTTCGCAACTTCCTATCCTTCATAGCTCTAAGTACTGTTTGTTGACTTGTTATCCTTACCAGTCTGCTATCCATTTACACAAGCCCATTAGGTAGGATTATCATGGCTCAACTTCTTATCCTTTGTAGGTACAGTTTATGTGGATAAGTATGGAAGATAATGGTTAACCCTAGACTTGAATAGGTTAAGATTGTCGAAGTTGCTCAAGTGGAACTTACATCTCACTTTGGGAATATGTAGGGAATGAGGGTGGTTCACTACAATGGGCATGGCATGGCAGGTCTTAGCCATAAAGGTTAGGACTGGTGGAACTAAGGAGTGTAGTTCTTCTGAACACTCACCACGGAGATAGTGATAAAGCAGTGAGAGGCTTGTCTGTGAGAAAGAGTTTGCAGAGTGAAAAATAATTTGTCATCCATAAAGACTTGGAGACACTTTTGGACCCTGTTGAAAATGGAAGGTGAAGACTTAGCACCCATACATGGCAGCAGTACTCCATTTTCAGCTTGATCAGGTTCTTGTAAAGGTAGAGGATAGCAAGAGCCAGGTACTTATTGAAGAGGTACAGGGAGCCAACCATTTTCCCAGAATCTTTAGCGATTATTTGTACAAGCTTCACTTGAGGTCTAGGTTGAATTTAAACCCTTCAATGGCACAGATGTATATATACATTTTTATGGAAAGTGTCTTTTTCAAACATGGATGAATGAACACATCCAAAACATAACATTAAAAAAAACAGCTACAGATGTGTTTATACATCGATCTTGATTCTTTTTATGGCCTTCTGAGCTTGAAACATATCCAATTGTCAACGCATATGTCTGGTAGAGGTGTTAGCCACCACTTGGGTACTTCAAGGTACCTCAGTTTCTTAATTACTATATTAAAAAATTTGTCTTAATATGAAACTTGTTTTCCAAAATAATTGGCAGAGAAGTGATTAAGTCCCAATAGGTACTCAAGATATGGGGTCAACCTGAGGGAACATCTGTTCTGGGGCTGATCAACAATGTTGGAATGTAACTAGTTTGTTTTTTGAGGCATTGAATGTGACCAGCCAGTTCCCCCTCCACCCCACTGAGCTGCTACAGGAGAGATCAGTTGCCAAGCTCTGGTCATTGACATCCATACTTAAAAAAAAGGAAATAAATCTTGACTTTGTCTGGCAGAAGGCTACAACAATATATTGAAATCATTTTGCAAGCTGTTTAACAAACTTGCTTGTTAACCATTGCTCAGAGTTACAAGGTGGGTCAAACCAAGGAGTTCTTTGTTTGATCCACCTCCCAAAAGTGTTATTTTGATGTGTGGTCATTAAAATACTGATTATGGGAAATGGGCTGGGCTAGAAACTTTTCAGCACCCCCCACCCCTTATAAATACCTAACCCTAAGGAAAACATCACTTTAAAGCAGGTGATAATTACTGAAAGCAAGAATTTAATGAGAAAGATTTCATTGGCTTGTCCTTTTTTATTCCTGGAGTTTACACTATTTAGTTATATTATTTTTTGGAATAATTGTCAAAACATCATCTAATTGCCAATCAACTTGGACTTTATAAAATGGTAAATAATAAGGTTTTCCTTGAGTTGGTTCACATATTTTAATAATTTAGTAAATGTTTATAAATTCATGAATAAAAAATTGTTTTTGTATTTATTTCTTTATAAACTGCTAAATGACAAATATTGCATAGCAATTGTATTAGTTTTTAGAATGTAAATATAAAATTATTCTTGTCAAACAATCTAATAAATAGTGTTTAATATTTTTGTTGTAAATTCTCAAGAAGAAAAAAATGTGTAAATTCACTTTCATCATATGTTTAGGGTTTATTAAAATTCTAATCCTCACTTTTTAAAACAATAAACATTGCAGAGGAGTGAAGGTAGTTAAAATAATAGCGGTGTCAAGGGAAAAATTGTCCTTTTGAAACACTGTTTCTTTGCAGTCATGAAGGTTAAACATTGCCAAAATTAATTTAATTATATAAATAATGATATTTTTAAATTTATCTTTTATATTAAATGAAGTAAGAAAAGAAACTCAGCCAACATATTTCCATGAGATGCACATTCAAGGACGAAACCCCAAATGGTTTGTGGACCACTGTTTAACTACCCCAGATATATATTATATTTTAATGTTTCACATTGATTTGTTTTTATGGCTTATCAACTCTTTGCAGGTTATTTAAAGCTAGAAAGTATTTTTAGATTGTAAGAATTTTTTGGAGATAATGATTTACTAATACAACTCCTACTAATTAGTTGGGGGGAGAAAAGTGGATTCTTACCTTTCTTAAAGGTATTTGTGCATAAGTGAATATAACAAATCTGATGGGATTTAAAACTTGGCTCTCCAATTTATCAATTCCAAGCAGTTAGCCATTATGCCATCCATACACCCAAGCTTACAGCACCTGGTATTCCCAAGCAGTCACCCATCTTGTTACTGATCAGGCTTGATGCTGCTTAACTTTGGTGATTGTATGAGAACTGGTGTTTCAATGTGATATGGCCATAAGCCTAATGCTTCAGATTCTTATTAAACCTATCAAAAAGGTACATTATTTGAAACGATTATTATTTTTTAAAGAGAGAGAGAGAGAGAGAGATTGATTGATTGATTGATCTGGTTCAATTTTACAGTTAGTGTCCAGCACATTATTTTAAATACCTAATATTTAGAGAATACCATGAACTGAACACATGACCAATTATAGGTGGCCTATCATCCAGTTCACACACCTCCTCAGTTTTTTGACCTTGTTTCCTTTAGGATTGGGTTTCCGGTTCCTTCTAAAATCTACTACACTATTACTTCTAAAGTCTCCGGCTGAACTCTGAAATGTTGACCCCTACAAGTGTAGAGTTAGCTGCTATATTCCCTGCATAGCTTCCAAATACTACACTTCTTGCTCCTTTCTTAGGCTCATACAACATCACACAGTAACCTTCTACCTTGAGCGGCTCTTGGGTGAACATTATTAAAAAAAAACAAATAAAGCTTTAGAGAATATATATATAGCGTCAGAAAGAAACAGACAAAAATGCTAAGGCACATAATGAGGAAAGAGGGCTTGGAAAATTTGACACTCACATGGCATATTGAAGGCAAAAAGGAAAGAGGAAATAAAAATTTGTATAATAAAAAAATAAAATAATTGAAAGGTGAATGAAAAAATAATACAGACTAGATTATGTTTATTACATTTTCTTTTGAGGAGGAGTTTAAAAACTAATGAAATAAATTTAGTAGCATGTATTTAAATAGAAAACTGCTAAAATGAAGTCAAATGGTAATGTAAAAAAATATCCCAAAGATTCATTTAGCGGTCTTAAAAAAACTAAACAAAAAAAACAAAAAACAATTGATTAAATAATAAATAAAAAAGCAATAAAGAACACTTTAGTTTAAACTAGATAACTTAAAAATCACCAATCAATAATTAAAAACTAAAAAGTGACGACAGATAACCCACAAGTACCGCAAAAAATATGTTACTATTTTTGTATTTAATTAATAATTTGTTACTTTTACATTGAAAGTAACACGGTTTAAAATAAATTTAACTTGCTAAATAAATAGAAAACATGCCTCAGTAAAAAGAAAAGAAAAGAGAGACTGACTTTTAAGGAAGTTGGGGGCGAAAAATTGCATTAAAAAAAGACAAAGATAGAAGAAGAAGAAATTCAGTTGACCCGACCCAAGATTCCAGTCCCAACTGACAAGAAAGAACCGACTATTTTTATTCGCCTCACTACTAGAGTAAATTCGGCACAGGGTCAGTTTATTGTCGAGACCCCCACAAAAAAAGCAAGGACAAAAATTGTCAGGTCCTCGCTGAGTCCAATGTCAGAAGAAGAAGAGAAGTCCTCTCTACAAAACCAGAAATCATTTATTGACATTCTAAAAGAAAACTTTTTGTAAGTAAATTCTGAATTGAAGATAAAAAGAAGAAGAGAGCTAGGAAGGAGGAATCAGATTTCTTTTCATGGAAGGAAAAAAGAAAGGAGAAATAATCACATTCTTTATGTCTGATACATTTTTAAAAATGTTTTTTTAGTTTATAATACATTTTTCTTCTTTATAGGAAATTAATTTAAAAAATACTGAATTTGAAATAAAGTTTGTAACAGTTTTTTTCTACATATATCCGTGAAAGTTGAAGTTTTTTTTTAGTCATTATTTAAATTAGGGTAAAACTTCGAATTTCATATTTTTATTTCAACTAGTCACCCCACATTTAAAAAGTGGAGATATCAGCTCTTTTTTTTTTTTAAGCCAATATTTATAGATTTTTTGGAACAGCCTAAAAATATCTTTCAGTTTATCTCTCAGAAAAAAATGTCATCATAAACAACAGTTTTAAAAGTGCGAACAAGTTTTATTTAAAATTTCCTAAAAGTTTTTATTTTACTTTATTGACAACTACATTTTGGCCCTATTCTTGCAATTAACAAATTAAAAGTAAAATTTCAAAGAAGATTAATTAAATTAAAAATTAACAAGTACGTGACTACTCCCAACTGAAATGAAAAAAGAGAATGAAATAAATTGTTTTTTTTGTTTTTTTTTGTAAGTTTTTTGTTTTTAATTTCTAGTAATGTAAAGTAATCATTGTTAGATTAGATTTTTGTTTTAAACTCGGATTTTCTTTATCACTCATCGAGTATTTATTTAAAAATTTAAGGTACTTTTCTTTTCAGTACTGTTAGTTACGACTACACAACATATTTTAGAAAGCCTTAGAAGCCGCCGTAGAAAATTATCTATGGAAAGATTGTAAAATGTAACTTAGTTTAAAATTTAAAACAATTTTTTAGTCGTTTAAAATTGAACAACTCGGCACTTGTAGTCGTATCTGAAATGTGCTTACTTTTAAAAAAGTGAAAACAAACATAGAGCGGAAATACATAATAAAATAAAATAAATTATCATCTATTATTTTTTCAGTTTATTCTTTTTTTTAGTTAAGTAGATTGGTCTACTTATAAAACAGGAATAACTTTAGACAAGCACAAGATACCGCCAAAGCAAAAAAGAAAAACTGAAATTAAATCAGAAAAAAAAAACGCTACCACTTGTTTTTAAAATTTTTTTCAAAATTCAGGAAATTATCCGATTTAAATGAAATTTTCAACACTTATTCATTAATAAATGAGCTGTCTATTAAATAAGTTATTTTATTAGAAAACCTGATAGAAATATTGAGGGGGTGTCAGTAATCCCCCTACATAGTGAATACTTTTTTTAATTTTAAAATTGGGATGGGTTGATGACAAATATATTTTTAGTTTTAAAGGTCCCTGAAGATAAAAATAATTGCAATATCAAATCAGAAAATCTTGAAAATTTGTCCTGAAACTTTAAAAAATAATTCAATGAAATAGAAAAAAAAAAATGAATAGAAAATACATCATTTTCTTACAGATTTGACAAGGGAAAAATCAAAATCTATTATAGGGAAAATTTATTTTTGAAAAATATTTTCAGTGCGATTTTGAAATTGCTAATGACGAAAAAGATTTTTTTTTTTTATTAAATAAAGACGAGTTTGGAGAATTGAAAAACGTAAAATCTGATGCCATTTTTGCATCAGAAATATTTTAAAAAGGATTTTATTTTATTTATTATTTCGACAACTGTTGGATTATATTTTTGTATGGAAATATCAAATAGGAAAAATTTCTCAATCACCTCCCTTTTCGGGAGATTAATATCTTAGTACTGAATTTTATCAGCCCAACCTTTTTAGCACTTCCTTGAATTTAATAAATTTTAAAATCAGAATAATTAAAAAAAAAGACCTCATTGGGTGCAATTAATTATTTTATGACATCAAACAAGGAAGAAAATAATAATAAAAGCAATAAATTAAGTGTGGCAATAGCATTTAACTATTTTTTAATTAATTCCTTCTTTTATACTTCTAACATAGTATAAAAAATAAAATTAATTCTACTAAGTTTATAAAAATGTCAGAATAAAAAAAATATTTTTTTTTATCAATTTAGAAGGGGCCCCTGTTTATAATATGATAATGTAAAATTGATCCCTCTGTTATACAGATTTATCTGGACTGGAAAATTGTACACACTCAACTGGTTGCAGTGCCAAATATCACCCCTTATAGTCATGGACACTAAATACTGAGTGAGGTGTAATGTGTTGCAGGCATGGACATTTGCATCTGTTCAGTATCTTCACCTGTTATTGGTCTCCAGATGCAGTCACCAAGTGATTTATCGTATACCCACTAGGATGTGATTATTGAAGAATCCCTCTGGCCATTCTAGCAAGTTGTCATTTTGTTGATCTAAGGAAAGGTAAAAATTATAGATAGAAAGAATAAATGCCAATGTAAAAAACCCTACCATGTTTGTTTAAGATAATAATGATTTAGTGATCTAAGTCTTACTAATTAATCCATAGCTGTGGGGAAGTGGTGGATTCATACCTAGTCAGAATTTTATAAACATGCAAGAAATTATGATGTGGATATAAAAAAAGGGTTCAATTCTATATTACAATCATTATATAAATTGATTCCTCACTTTGTGGCCATGGTTGTTTCTATACATATATATTTCAGAGAATGTAAATAATTCTCTAAAGACATGCCTTTGTATCTAATCAATATTTCATTGATTTATTTGTTTTCTATGGTTTATCAACTCTTACCAGGTTAATAAAGCCAGAAAATATTTTTAGATTTTTAGAATTTTTTCTTTGGCAGATATCAATGAAATTATTACTATCTGATACAAGTCTTACTAATTAATGCATAAATAGGGAGAGAAGAAGTAAATTTATACCTTTCCTAAAGCTATTTGCATGTCAGTGATTATAACAAACCCCACTGGAATTGGAATTCAGCTTTCCAGTTAACAATTCTGAGCCATTATTCATTACACCACCTGCACACCCAAATTTACAATACCTGGTTTTCTCAGTGCTGACCAGGCTCAACATTGCTTAACTTCAATGATCACATGGGAAATGGTGTTTCAATGTGATTTGATTGTAAGCCTCCTTCAGCTTGAGGAGAGAGAGATATAGTGTGTGGATATGATGATATTTCTGCAATAGTCCCGAAGAAAAGTGCTCCTGAAGTGACTCCTGTTTTCTCTAAACTCTACAATAAATGCCTTGTAGCTTCTTACTTTCCTGCTTGTTGGAAATTCTCTTCTATAGCTCCAGTCTTAAAGAACTCATGCAAATCATCTGATTCTTCTATCAACATATTAGCATTCTATCTCTTTTTAGTAAATTACTAGGCACTTTAATAAACTTTGAATTGGTTAAGCATTTCACCTTGCAGGGTTTTCTTTCAGATAAGCAATGTGGCTTTCGCTGATGTATTAACGATTGTTATTGAAAGCTTTAGATAAGAATAGTGAAGCTTGAGCTGTTGGTTTGGATATCTCTAAGGCATTTGACAAAGTTTGGTATACCAGATTTCACAAGTTGAAAGCTTATGGTTTTTCTGGACAAAGTTTTGAACTGATTCAGCATTTCTTATCAAATCATAAAATGAAAGTTGTTTTAAATGGCCACTCTTCTAGATCTTTTTGAATTAATGCAGGTATCCCCTAGGGCCCTATTCTTAAACCTACATTGTCTTAATTTTTATCAACAACCTTCCTGATATCTTTACTCAGTATCTATATTGATGACATAACTATTTTCTTAATAGTAAGTTTGATTGGTTCAATAAGGTCAAATTAGCAGCTGATCTAAAAATGAACTATAAGGAAGGGCTTGTTAATTTTAATGCATCCAAAATAAAACTGCTCTCTTAATAGTCTGAGAGAATCCTTTTTGCATGGCTGATGCTAACCACCAAGAGAGTGAATCATTGAGCCTACTCGGATTAATGTTTTCTACTGACATGAAGTGGAAAGATTTTATTGAACCAATTGCTAGGTCTGCTGTGAAAAATGTTGGTTCACTGTGGCGTGCTAGACAATTTTTCTTGATAGAATCTATCTGACATAATTATAAGTCTACCACTCATCCTTGCTTTGAATATTGCTGCTGCCACACCTGATCTGAAGCTCCTGCTCCATATTTAGAGATTCTTGATAAAATTCAAATAATATATATATATATATATATATATATATATATATATATTTGTCCTGCCTAAAAACAACAAACTGTATTGGTCAATGTAAAATATATAATGATAAAAAGAAGACGGAGACTTTAATTATACATTTTGATTATAATTTATTTTGTGATCACCCTCTTGCATTCCCTTCAACTTAAAGTCTCCACTGACCATTATATTTTGGTCTAAAAAACAAATGCTTACGTATTACTATATTAATACCAACCTTTATTTGAATTAAGATCTTTTTCATTAAATTAATTTGAATCAACCTGGTTTGTCCTGCCTAAAAACAACAAACTGTATTGGTCAATGTAAAATACAACCCAATATAAAAATCTCAAAATTATAGAATAAATTCTCGGTTGGGTGAACTGACTACTACCAACCACTAATCCTTTAGCCCATTCTTTACCCATCTCTTCTCTCTAACCTTCCCTCCCCACTACCAATCTAATGTGTTTGTCCAGTGTATTTTCTCCATTTATGGAGGAGATTTCAATCTGAAGAGTTGAACACCTTGGTGTTCACAAAATAAATTATAATTGAAATGGATAATTAAAGTTTCCATCTTATTATCATTATAATGTTCTGTAGTCTACATTGAGCTCTCCCTGGATTTATATCCTCCTCAAAATTATCCCTTCCAGTCACAAACTGGTAAGAAATATATATATATATATATATATATATATATATATATATATATATATATATACAGTACATATGCAATTACACATGTACATATGTAATTAGACATTACATACATACACACAATTATTTTTATATACACTGTATGTATTAACACACAAACTCACTAGAAAAAAATTTGCTCCCCTTAAAAATCAATATCCCCACTCTGTGGGGTGTGCACCCACATTGGGAACCACAACTTTAATCCATTCAAAGCTAGGACCTGCCATACCACATATATAGTGTCAAATAGGGCACCTCGAGGTGGTGTAATGGTTCGCAAGCTTGTTTTGCTAGAACAATTACAACTGAGTAGTGAGTTTGATTCTCACTGGGTGCCTCCTACTTTCGGTCTTGTGCCACATCTAAGCTGTGGTTAGAAAATCACTATATAGTGTCAAATCATCCATATTCTCTTCATATTCTATTGATAAGGAGCAAGTTCCACTCAGACAACTTCTTCCCCAGAACTGTTACTTTGTGGAACTGACTCCCAAGATGATGTCCCATTGACCACTACAATCTTAACCTCCTCAAGTTGAGGGTCAACCATTATCTAACCTACATATCCTCATAATATACATCTCTTCCTTCTCCTTTACACCCTTACATCCATCCCATTCACCAAACTTCTACCTTGTGTGGCTCTTGGGATTTCTATTGAGTGAATAAAAAAAATCCACTAGGTTACTATCCTGTGAACCAAAATTTGACAAATGCAAAGAAAGATGAGGACATTAGTCCAAATGTAAATAATGATATTATTAAATGATTAATAAATAAGTAAATAATTATCCTACAAATTATGATAAACTACATCCAGCAGCACAGCCTATAGTTGGGAGATTGAAGGTTTTGAGGAGCATAGAACCGCCTCTTAATTACTGTTGTTTTCAGGTTCACCCTGATCAGGGGTGGTAGCACTGGTTAGTGTCCCAGCTATGGGCAAATAGTGAATTCCCAAACAAAAAAAATCAAAACGTTAGGAAAGTATAAAAATGCATTTTTATAGTAAAATTACCAGCAATACATTTTTATAGAAAAATAACAATCAATACAACATTAAAAAAGTATAAAAATAGATTTTAATAGAAAGATTACCAGCAATATATTTTTATAAAAAATTAACAATACATTTTTGCCATAAAATTACCAATAATATATTTTTCAAAAAATTACCAACAATATTTATTATCTACAAACTATATATCTAAAAAGCATAGTTTGCCCTGGAAGTATAAAGTTATGTACAAAATATATGTAGCTAATGCCATAAAATTGCACACAAAATATTTAGATTTTGGCATTAAATAATTTGTAGAGATTAATATCCTGCTAAACAAAATCAGTCAATTATCCCAAAAATTAATTGACAGCTTTGGTAGATTGTATTTTGTACTTGTTTGAAGGAATTCATTTTAATTTTTGTTAGCACGAAAGGAAAGCAAAAAAAAAAAAAAAATACCAAAATAATGAAATAAATAATTTAAGTGTATAAATGTTATTTTTGTGTCCATGAATTTCTGCTTGTGATTAAATGGATATTTTATATTTGTCTTTAGATTGCAAGTATGGAGGAAGCTAAAAAAAAACATTTTCTCACTGAGAATAATGAAACTAAAATTGCATCTGTGACTGAAAGGGTTTCTACAAACATCAACAACTTGCAAATAATTAATTCAATCCCAGCCTTCCTAAATGTCTTCTGCCTCAAACTCCAACCATCGTCAACTGCAGACAAAGATTCAAACGATAAGAAAACTAATATTATATACATGCACCCTTCAGGCAGCAGTGCTCTTTTGGGTGCTGAAGGAATGTTTGTGGTGTTATTGCATACTTTGGAAGACATGGTTGATCAACCTGCTAAATGCACAATTTTATATTCTAAGCAAGGATCAGTGTTTTATGTTGGATATTATAAGGACGATCAAAACTTATTAGTTTTTGCAGTTAGGAAAGAGGCATTCAGTTGTCATGAGGTCTGCTCATTGATGGACAATGTTGTGCAACTAATACGGTTTTTGTATGGTTCTTTAGATTTAGCATTTCATCGTAAAAAATGCCACAGAAAGCTGGATAAGATTTTTTTCTCTGTAGAACACCTTTTACGGCAAAATAATGAAAAATTCTTGATGCCTTTTCTGAATTATATTCCCTTCCTTCCATTACCAAAGATCATCCAACTTAGATTTGATGAAATTCTTGGGAGTTTAGGATTTGCTGACTTTTCAAGACAAAAATCTGAAGATGATCTTTCTTGTCAACAGCAGCCACTAGATTTGGTTGGTTCCTGTCTATTCTGCAGTGGTTACTTACTCTGCAGCCATATATCACCAAAAACCCTGGAAGACATTTATCTTTATTTAAAGTTTAACCAACTCTTAGACTTCTCTCCTTTGAAAGCTAATCAACAAATCATCTTATGGAGAGAAATATTTCCCACAGAGCATCGAAACAAAAAAGAAATGCCATTTGGCTATGCAGAAAGTGATTCTCGGTATTTTCTGCAAATTGTCACTTTAGAAAACAAAATGTTATGCATTTTATTACGAGCACCTAAGTGGAAAATATCCACAATCACAGAAAAACTCCCCCCTCCTCCATTTTACATTGAGCGACTAAAAAATTTGCTTTCAAAATTGGAATCAGTTATTCAGAAGTTTGTTGAAAAGTCTGAATTATTTGCTAAAGAAAATGTATCTTTCTCAAATCCACAGAGTTCTTTCTGGCAACAATTTATGTCTTTGCTGAAGGTGCCTCCTATTCATTACCCCAATTTGTTGTATCCTAAACCTCTCCAAAAGAAAAATGAAATTTCCAAAGATCTTGGAGTTTTCAATTTGACAATACAGTCACCAGATTTATCAGACACTGTCCTTTTACAACCTGGGACACACTCAGCAGATTCTAATTTCGGAAACCTGTCGAGATCATTCACCAGTCCTTTTGTCAAAGAAAGAATTGATAAATTCTTGCCAGTACACAATACCAGCATTTCCCAGAATATCTCAGTGACTGCCACTTTACCAAATACCTTTCAAACACCAGAATATTCCAATCTCATACCAATCCAAAATCTAGCTCCTTCTTATCATGGAATTGTGGTCATTCTGCATCTTCAAGCTGGTCAAGAAAATGTGGACAAAGGGGTGCGGATTAATGGAAGCATTAGATACAATCAAAGTCTTATTTCAGAATTCAACTGGTATGTATTAAATTAATTTGGGTAAGCTGAAAGAAAGGAATGACAAACATGCATTGTTCTTAGTGATTTTTTATATTGATATATACATATCACAAATTTGTCTCACACCAGTGTGAAAGGGACAAAAAGTGAGAAGGTCTTACTTGTAATATCTCCCAATGAGAAAAAGAGCAGGTCGGTAGTATCCTTTATATGCCAAGATACCATGTGGGTTCCCTACAACTGTGGGTTTGTCACTTCTTTCTTCTTCACAGCCTACATTTCCAAAGAAACAATTTATTCATGTACTCTTTATATAAGCAAAGATATTTGTAAGTTAAAACATTATTTTTTACTTTAATTCAATAATTTTTCATTTCTTTTAAAGATTTTTTTACACTTAATATTGTTCTAAAGGATAAAAAAAATGGAAATTTTTTTCTTAAAGAAAGAGAGCCTATTGTCTTTCATGGAAAAAAGCTAGTATTTTTAAAACAAAGAAACACTTTATTAAATAAAATGATTGCTTTGTGTATTTGAATCTTTTCATTTTTCAGTTTAATTTAATTTTTTATTATTATTTAAAGAATAATTGAATGATGTAAGCTTTATGTATGTAAATAAATCATCATATTTATTTTTTATATAAATATAGCGAAGAAAATGGCAACTTACCTAGTCAAACGAAGTGACAGCGCGCCAAGTATATCGTACAACGGAAAATGTGCCGAAAAAGAAAATTACTTACCAAAAAAAAGGGCACGTATTCCGCATGACATGCTGAAAACGGAATATTTAAATTAAAAAACAAATCTGTTGCCAGAGTTGCTATAGAAGTATTTTGATATGCAAAAATTGAGCATCCTCTCCCAGCTGTTGACGAATGGAAAAAATGATCGGCTGATAAACGCAGTTGGTGTTCTCAAATCAGGGAGAAACTTCGAGTATTTTGGCTACCATGTTTGTTGGAGAACGAGTTATTTTTCTGACTGTTTGCATGCATTGTAAGATAGTACCTGTGAATCGAGTTTTTGGCATTTCTTTCTGCTCCCGATGTTTGAGCCTGAACTTAGTAATTTATTCTCTGCTTTGTGGAAGTAATCTGTGACAAATATTTCCTTTGCAATTCCAGATCGCTTACAATAAAATAAATAATTTAGGCAAACATGGATAAACATGCCCACAATAAGAGGGAATATCAAAAAGAGTATTTTTCCAATGACACTGTTTTCTAACTGCCTTCACTCTTTGACATTGTTTATTGTTTTAAAAAGCAATGATTAGAATTGTAATAAGTGCTAAACATATGAAAGAAAATTTATTTGGTTGGATTGATGTGAGTTTGTGACCTTGGGTTTCATGCTTTTGCGTTTGTCAACATTTTTTGTTCTTGAGAATTTACAACAAAAATAATAAACACTATTTATTTATTATATTATTTATTGAAAATGTTGGTAAAACATCATCTAATTGCCAATTGATTCAAACTTTATAAAATGGTAAATAATAAGGATTTCCTTAGAGTTGGTTCAAATCTTATCTTACTTATTATAAAACGCAGGTTGTGTGTGTGTGTGTGTGTGTCTGTAACGTTTATATGTTGGATCGAATTTCCTACATTTTTTAGCCGATTTCAACAAAACTTCACAGGACTACATAAAATTACCTTGTGGTGGTTCTAACGGGGCCGAAAATGGGAAAAATACAGTTGTTTTTTAATAAAATCAATTTGAAAACACGATTAAGACACATTGTGAGAATGAAAGGGGGAGAACTCACCCACGAAAATGTAAACAAAAGAGCATAGCATGATGAAAAAGACGCGAACTTGACGAAAACAAAATTTTATCGTCTAATGTTCATATTATTATTAAAGAGAGGAAAGATCAAAAAAGTATTTTGGGGTATTTTTTTACATTTTTAATCGTTCCTAGCACGTCTGAAATTTTAGTTAAAAATATTGTTTTTTTGGTAAAAAAAAAGGGCAAATAATCATTTTCAATCATTTTTTTTGATTTGATAAAAAAATTAAAATCTTACTTTGATATTCTTTTAAAAGTCAATTATCATTTTTCAAAACTGATTTTAATAAAAACAGATATTATACTGTTTATTTAAAATATTTTGAACCAAAAACAACTTAGCTTCTGCGCCAAAAAAATGTAATTTGAAAATAAAACAAAGCAGGTCATAACCTTTCGTGTCGCTTGACGATTGACGAAAGGCACATTCATAACGTTTAGATAACTTACGGGAGGAGAATTCTTTCTCTGGATGGAAGGAAGTGAAATTATTTAAGTGAACAAATTATTTACCTTGTTACTTGTTACTTTCAGCGCTCTAATTTTTTATTTTTTAAAAAATTTTTTTTTGTACTTAGCTTTCATTTTTACATTTACGATGCTTTATGGAAAATATAAAGAAATTAAAAAATAAGACTGTTAATAGTGAGATTAAATTTCATAAGAAAAAGGTATCTAATTAATTTAGGTACCTTTCTTATGAAAATTTTATCAAAGTGTACATAAAATACTATAATTTTATGTACATTTATTACATTTTACTGTGTTATTTGTATTTCCATTCATTTTATTATTAATTTTGATATTTCATTTATGGAAAAATGTCATAACTGAGATTAATATAAAAATAAGATCATATAAATTAAAGTTTAGCAGTAGTTAAATTTCATAAGATGATACTGTTATTTGTAGGTACCCTTCTCAGTTGAAATTGAAAACTCAAATTAACTTCTCCATATGTGTTTTGCAAAAGTAAAGGGCTTAACAGCGGAGAACAATGCTGAACTCAAATAATGCAACTAAATTGTATTCTGGTTGGTCTTCTGTACTTGATAATTACTGTCCGACTATAAACACAAAAATTACATTTCTTAATTACCATGGCTAATCTGATTGGTCCAAATTATACAATTTTCAAAGCACTAGACAATGACAATCTCACACGGACATTTTGAAAGGTTGATGTTGCTTTTAACTAATGTTAAAATATTTTTTAAAATTCAATTTAAACATTTTTTAAAAATCTTTTTAAAATTAAAGAAATAAGAAATAATTGTATTAAAATTCAATTTTCATTGAAAAAATTTTTTTGCTTTCAGAAAATATTGTCCATATTCATAAAAACAAATTAAAACAAATAAAAAGCATTTGAAACTAAATAATATATTTGTTTTATTGAATTCTGTATGTTAGAATTCACAGCTGATTTTCAGGTACGTTAGCCAAAAAAAAAAAAATACATGATTTGCATTCTTCAAAGCCTTGTGCTTTTAACTATTGTAATCACTAAAACCGATGGTCTCAATTTCTAGAGTTTTTTCATAAAATTAGTTATGGGGTGTTAATAAATATAAAAAAATATTTCTGCCATGACTTTAATTATATAATTATTTATAATAATTTCGATCATCTGTGAATAGTTTCTGAAAGTTTCATTAACATCTGACAATTATTTTTATTTTTGCAAGATTTTCCAAATTAATGTGTGTAAATACAAAAAATGCGCTAAAAATTATCTATGTTATTTACTACCCCTTGTTGTGACAAAGAGAAACAAGGTTTTTTAAATCAAAATTTAGAATATTCTAAAAAGATGGAAAAAATTTTTAAAAATAATTAAAAAAAAATTTAGTCTATCCTCTTCATAAAAACATAAGCATTTTGACGATAAAATTTTGTTTTCATAAACTTTGGCGTCTTTTTCATCAGACTATGCTCTATGTTTTAGTGATTCCTTGGAGTGACTTAGGTTAAAAACCAAGGTTGTTTATGGTGTGTGTGTGTTTCCTTTATATATGGGATTGGATTTCTTACATTTTTCAGCCGATAAAACAAAATGCACTTTTTTTTTTTTTGGGTAGAATTTCTTATAGTCTTGCACACTTTTTTTTTTTTATTTACATTCAGAATGCTTTAAAAATTCCATTTACAAGACAATTGTTTATAATAAAATTCTATTCACCAATCGATAGACTCATAACGATTGTAAACAATGTTTTTTGTTTGAATTTGGGTTTGACCAATTCGTAAAAAAAAAAAAAAAAAACTAATTAAGACATGCGTATCCGTCAACCTTAAACAATAATCTTTGTTAATTTTATTTTTCAGTCTTTATGATGGTCGATACTTGATCTATCTCTTACTGTTACATCCCCGGGCAATGCCGGGCTCTACTGCTAGTATTTTAATAATTTAGTAAATGTTTATAAATTTATTGGTAAATGAGAAATAGTGCATTGCATTAGTTTTAATTGTATTAGTTTTTAGAATGTTGTAAATATAAAATGATTCTTGTAAATAAACAATTTAATTCTTTGTCTAATATTTGTCTTCTTACTATTCTTCCAAGTCCTTGTTCTGCTATTCATTAAGTAACTTGATCATGCCCCCCCCCACAACTTCCAAACTTTTGTAACACTTAGTAATATTTATTTATTTATCATTCCTCCCAGTCCCTGATCTGCCATCCATTTACATAAGCTTGTTAACTAGGTTGATCATCTGCTTCTAAATCCTTGTAACTATATGCAATATTTGTCTCCTTCCAGTCCATCTTCTGCCAATTATTTACACAAGGAAGGTTACTTGCTGTCACTCTTTGCCCCTCTTGCCTTCAATATGTCCTCTGAGTGTCAAATTCTCCAAGCCCTCTTTCCTCATTATGTGTCTCAGAAATTTCAACTGTCTCTTTCTGATTATAAATATAAAGTATCCTTTTTGTTAGTAATTTCATTAAAACTTTCTCCTTGCTCACAGTCTCCATCCATGGTATTCTCAGCATTTTTCTGTAGAACTGCATCTCTGTTGCCACAAATCCTCTCTTCATCTAGTCAGAAATTGTTTAGCATTCATTACCAGATTGATATTATGAAGAAATATTATTTTCTGTTTCTAATGAAATTTTCCTGTTTCTTTATACTTTGTTTTATTTTTGGAAGACATCTTCCATTATTCCAATGCACCATTTGAATTTCAGTGTCACAATTACTGATTCTTATCAAAACACTTTCCAGATATTCAAATTTCAGTAGTTGCTTGATTCTAACATCTCCAATTTGTGGCTGGTATCTTCATATGTTCTTCTGGCTGATTACCAAATGATTCAGTCTGTCATTCATTTCTTTTTGTTTCTTTTCATTCAGGAAAATTATCATAACGAAACAATAAATATAATTTTCATTCTAGACAAGAAAAAATGATATTCATCGTTTATCTATTTAGTAAAGAAAATAAAATCTGATTGCATTATTCTCATTAAAATAAACAACACCTAAAAGAATTTAAATTTATATTGAATTTAAAAATAACTTTAAAACATGTCATTCTGCCAGTAATGCTAATTCCTAACCACTGACAATCCCTTTCTTCATTTACAATGCATTTCTATATTGAAACACTGCTACAAAATAATAATTTTACATATAATAGCCCTATTCTGCCAGTAATGCTTGCCTTCATTCCTGACCATTGACAATCCCTTTCTTCCTCATTTCCAATGCATTTCTATAGTGAAACACTTTTACTTACCCAAAAATTTTTACTAGATACAGAAATTGATGATACTAATTCAATATTTTATTCATGTATATGAAAAATAATTCTCTGAAAATCTTAATCCAAGGGAAGTAATTCATGTCTGATGTTGAAAAAGAAAGAAATATTCCTCAAACGCCTTCAAATCACAAAATGAGGTTCAGATTCTATAGAATCACAATTTATTTAAAAATATTTTTCTGTTATTTTTTCTTTGGAAATAAGTTGTTAAAGTTGAAGGATTTTTTTCTAAAATCTGTTTTTTTTTTCTTTTGGCCATTTTTTCTAATTAGTTAACATTTTACAAATATATGAGTTTAGCGATGGTATATTTTGTCTATATGCTTAACTGTTTTTTTATATTTGCATCTTTAAAAATATTTACCAAACAACTGTCATTGGTATTTAACCAAATTTGTATAAATGAAAGTCTGCTGCTGAAATGCATCGTAATATTCTCAAGAATATTCTCAAGTTGACATGAAGTGGAAAGACTATATTGAATCCATTGCTAGCTCAGCTGTTAAGAAAGTTGGTTCACTGTGTCGTACGAGATAGATTTTGTCTCCAGAATCTATCTTATATATCTATAAATCTACCATTTATCCATGCTTAGAATATCACTGCCACATATGGTTTGGTGTTCCTGCTATATATTTCAAGATTACTGATAAAATCCAAAGAAAAATCTGCAATGTTATTAGTTCTGATCTGACATCCCAGCTTCAATCACTTTTTCACCACCATAATTTGCTTCCCTGTACTTTCAGGGTAATTGTTTGGATGAAATCTTTGCTATGATACCTAGACTTTATGAAATTAAGTGCAGTATTAGCTTGGCAGCAAGGTCTCATTTTAATGTAAAAATGGCTAGATGTAACAGTTCTATGCTAATAGTTTCTTTTCTTGCAATTCTCACTTGTAGAACTCTCTTCCGGCTACTTGCTTTCCAGTCAAGTGTGATCTTAAAAAATTTTAATGCAATGTCAGTTCCTATCTTCTGTCTTCTTAATTCCTGTTCTTTTATTATCCTCTTTCCTTAATAATTTTCTTTTTCTTTGTGGATGTGTTTTGACAAGGTCAAATCTTAACCCCCTGAACCTTCCACAAGACTGTTTACACTAGTGAATTGGATTTTTCATACAGGTGTACAATGGAAGACAAAATTAGTAGTTTATAATTAGAAGCTGTTACAATTTAAACTAAAATAAAAAACTGCTCCTAAAACTTTGTCATAAATTGTACAGCATGAAACTCTTTGTTTTGGTATTAATTACATTTTATAAAATGAGTTGTTAAAAGGCATTTATTAATTTTAGCTAAAATGAGGTCAGTTTTTTTAGGTGAGGCACTAATTAAATAGATAATTGATCTCAATACCACAGACTTTTTGCATAATTTTCCAAAGGTTGATGCCTATAAACACCAGTGGTATTATAATTTTGTATTTCCCTTATCTCAAAAGACCAGATATTTAAACAGGATATAAATCCATGATGATTTAATGCAAAAAAATGAAAAATCTGGAGTCTTTGAAACTTTCGTTTCACATAAACTCTGCAAAATAATCATCCATCACATCACAATTTGTTGGTCAATGTATTGCTTAGATTATTGATTTGCATCTTTATCACACAGCTCCTATGTGATTTGTGGTTGGAAAGGGGGAAAAGCATAATAATGCTCAAATGCTATACATTTTTTTTATTAATTCATCCCAAGGAAAGTGATATTGCTACTAAGATGCAAGGGGTTACTCAGAGTGAAAAAAAATGAAGACTTTAGAAGGAACTTGAAACCCAATTCTAAACAGAAAAAAAAAGGATAAACTTCTACTCCTGTTAAAAAGACCAGGAAGGTGTGTGAACTGGATGATAGGTAAACTTATCTACTTCTATTGAGGGGAAAAAGTAAATAAATAGTAAATAAAATTTCAGAGTTTTAGGTGGAGACATTAAAAGCATAGAGTTGAAGTAGATTTTAAAAGTAACCAGAAACCCAATCCTAAACAGGAAACAGAGGATAAACCTATACTCATTTTCAAAAGACCAGGGAGGAGTGAGAACTGAATGATAGGTTCTACCCTGAGTGAGAAAAAAATAAAAATGAAAAATAAATAGTAAAAACAATTTCAAATTTTAGACAGAGACGTTAAAAATATAGAATTGGGTTTCTGGTTCCTTCTAAAGTCTACTTCGACAAACCAGAAACCCAATCCTAAACAGGAAACAAAGGATAAACCTTGTTCAAAAGAACAGGGGGGGAGCACAAACCAGACGATAGACAAACCTATCAACCCCTATTATTAACTTGTTCTTTTACTTCACTATCTCTTTTCTCTGAATACATTTATTTGTCCATTTCTTACAATTCACGGGTATCCTTTTTTTTCCAGGTGTTGTTCCAGAATCAAACAACATTTTAACAGAGCCAATTGGTCAAATCGACTGCAAACTGAAAAAAAGTCTTACAATCAGTCTCTGGAAATCAAAGAATATGGCGTTTTACTGAGGCATCAGTCTAAGAAAACAGTAAAAAGCAAACAAGTTGAAAGCCAAGATTACTGGGTCGTTGGGCGTCAACTATGGCGTGACCATCACATTAAACAACAAGTCTTTGTCTGTTTTCTTGACAACACCCCACAAAACCTCATTGAATTTGCTTTCTGTATTTCATTTGGACATAACTGGACAGTTTAGGTTAATTTTCACAGCCATAAATTGTGGCTACTTTACTATGAACTTCCTGGTCCTCTTTTTGAATGTTTTTTCTTGTATTTTTTTGTTTTTTTACTTTTCTCCTAAGATAAGGCCTAAGTGCCACACAAGGTAGAGGGTTGCTAAATGGGGATGCTGTAAGGGAATATAAGGGAGTTTAGTGATTAGTTACTACATAAAATAATGATAGTGAAAAAGAGTACATGCAGAAAATAACAGACTGTGACACTATTTAGCTATGGTAGTTGATTAACTAATTAGCCATAAAAATTAAACAAGAAAATACGGAGAACAGAAAGGAAGATATCCTAAGATTTTATTTTTACTTTAAAAAAAAGTTACTTTTCTCAAGAAACCAGGGATTTGTGTCAATGGTAAATTCACAGAAGGGCAATGTGGCGAGCTTTTGACAATTGATTAATGTTAATTGTAAAAGTTCTGGTTAAGAAAACATGAAATAAACAGAAAGTGACAAAGATATCATTCGAAATCGCAAAGGAGTTGGCCAAGTGACAGGGCCATGTGTTAAATGTAAGAATTTTTGGCATAGGAAGATGTTCTGCAAGATATGCTGTTCAATATGGAAAGATTTTATTTTTACTTTTCTCAAGAACCTGAGGATTTGCATAAATGGTAAATTCACAAAAAGGCCATGTGGTGAGTTTTTGACAATTGATTAATGATGATTGTGGGGGTGCTGGTTGGGAGAACACAAGATAGCCAGAAAGTGTCAAAGATATCATTCGAAATGCTAAGATTTTGGGAGTTGGCCAAGCGACAGGTCCATGTGTTATTTGTAAGACGAAAAAGGGAATTTCATAAACAAATTTGATAATTCTGAACTCAGAAATCCTGAATAAACAGGGATGTCAAAGAGTTAATTAATGAAGCAAGCTTAGCCACACCTGCATAACCGAGATGCCATTGGTCGGGTGGTAGCAATGGTGATAGGGGGAGGTAAATTGGTAAGAAAGATAGGGAAATTACTAATGCCAACTGAAATGATTTGGTATGAGGTACCAATGTGAGAAGGAGGGAGTTTAGGAGGATGGCTATCCTGCAACCTCTCCTCACAGACGAAGGTATCCCCTCAAAAATAGGAAGTAATTAATTTTCCAAAAATGGGAAGTAATTAATTTTCCTAGCCAGACAACAAAAGGACAATTGTAGGAATCAGAGAATTACTGCAAACCCCAGGCTGTGTTTAAACCCGCACTGGTTTTTGGTTGAAGTCCATATAAGCGAGCTCCCTTGGGCAATTCACCAGAGTTTTTCAGTTCGCTAGCAGGAATCAGAGAGTTACCTTGCAGAGGCTGGCCGAGAGATTCAACGACTTCTGCCTCCGACCTCGCCTTTCTACAAAACAACAAGTTATACTGATAAATGAAGCTAAGCCAGCACCTAAAAACTAAACTAGTTGACTTACAAGACCAGAACTTGCCTAGAAGTATAATAGTGTCACTCTCAGAAGAAATGGGTTGGGAAAAACACATACTCTTGTATAGAACAGACCGATAAAAGTTGATTTGCTTTCTTTCAACATACCTGAACCTTTTTCTGGTTTTTATTTATTTCTTTTTACACTTGTGTGACATCACCTCCAGTTTAGACTCATCTTGCACTATAGCCCGATGCCTGATTGATCTCATCTACCTAAGATCAAATCACAATGTGGGTAGGTTAGACTTGAGATCGAAGTAGTTACTTCAGTAACCAGTCATTGGAAGTGAGTTGAGAATGACGGAGCTGGTGTCAAACCAGTTGCACCTGGTGTGAAGCTGTTAGAATCGACCAACCATCCCATTTGGTACCCTGACCAAAGGATACTGCTGGGTAGTGATGACCACTGATTGACCGGGTCATGTGTTGTATACACAACAAAATGCTTATGAATATGTTATAGTGTGACTTACAGTTGGTGTGTTTTAGTGTGAAGCGTTCACAGCCCTTTTAGGTTCAGTGTGAAAAGTTCATATCACCAGTTTGGAAAGAGAAAAACCCAGAAGAGAGAGAGAGAGAGTTACTTTATGGTTAATATGTTTTTATAATTGAGAGCTGCTGCTGATACAAGGTTTATTTGTGCTGCTGCTAATATTATGTTTAAAAGCTCCTACTGATATTAAATGCACTACAGGAGGAAGGGTTGAAGATTATGAGGATATGTAGGAAAGATGATGGTTGACCCTCAATTTGAAATGGTTAATATGTGTCCATTCTGCATTTCAACAGTTCTGGGGAAGAAGTTGTCTGAGTGAAACTTCCTCCCCACCAATGGGAATGAAGATGATTCGACTCTCTATATGAAGCCGGGTCAAACCAAGGAATGTAGTTCGCCTGAACATCTGTCATGAAAATAGCAATAGAATAGCGAGAGGCTAGCAACATTAACACAACTATAGGAAAAGAGTTGAAGGTTAAAAAACAATTCATCACCCACAAGGCCATGTAAATGCTTTTGAACTTTGTTGAGGCAGGAAAGTGAAACTCTAAAAAAAAAAAAAGATGCAATAAGTAATGAATCATTTTTGAGTAATCTTTAACTCTTGTACCCACAAAAAACAGTGTGTCAAGACGGCAGTTTTTCCCTTGACATCACTGTTATTTTTACTACCTTCACTCCCTCAGCAATGTTTGTTGTTTTAAAAGGCAATGATTAGAATTTAAATAAAACCCCAACATATGAAAGTGAATTTATATAGGGTGAGGCAAAAATTGCACACCATTGGGGTTAAATGGATAGGTCAAAGAGGTCCTGTTGAGTGGCCACTGAGCTCACACACTTGGACTTTTTTCTGTGAAGCTATTTGAAATCAGTTGTTTATCAAATGCATCCAAGAAATATTGAGGAACTTAAAGAATTAAATATAAATACAGTAAAATGACAGGAAACTCTCCAGTGTGTTAATGAATCATGCAAGCACAGAATTGGAATGTGTTTTGAAAAAGAAGGAAGCCATTTTGAACAGCATCTATAGCAATGTCAATAACTAGTAAATAACATTTTTATGTGTAATCATACTTTTAATAAATTATTTCCATGGTGTGTGACTTTTGCCTCACCCTGTACATTTTCTTTATTTTTTGAGAATCTACAACAAAAATATTAAACACAACTTATTTATTAGATTGTTTATTTACAAGAATAATTTTATATTTACAACATTCTAAAAATATGAACCAACTAATTCATTTATCAATTTATAAAGAAATAAATCTGAAAATAATTTTTTTTACTCATAAATTTATAAAAAAATGTCTGTGAACAAGAAAATTTAAATAAATTTAATGAGTAACTGTAGTTATAAATTTTGAAAAAATGCATCTTCTGGGTATTTCTTCCATGCAGCAATTCATTGATATTTTTATAAAATTATGAATAAAAAAAAACTTGTTTTCACTGTTGCAATATTGCATTTTCATATTTTGATAATTTTTAAAAATTTTTGAATAAAAAGATTTTTTTTCACTTTTATTTCTTTATAAAATAGTAAATATTGCATCGTACTTGGTTCACATATTTTTATAATCTTGTAACTTATTGCCTAGGGAGTGAAGGGAAAAACTATCCTTTTGACACATCATTTGTTTCCAGGCACTTGTTATCAAAAAAGCATTTCTGATATTTTCAGGGTCATAAACTTGATGCAAACTTTCTCTGTATTTCATTTCTGGGAGGGTTTTCTTTTTTGTTTTTGTTTTCTTTTTTTCCCATTTTTCTTTTCAGAGAAGTTGTTGCATAGCCCCCTCATGCTAGGAGGTCCTGGTCAACAGTACAAATTTAATACAATGTTGTATATCTTCTTTTGGCTGGTGTTCACCAGATGTTTTGGTTCAGAGATGAAAGAACTTCAACACGGAGAAATTTAACTTATCTAGTTTTATTTTTCATGTTGACATGTACATTTTCTATCCAGTGGAGTTGCTCTTCCACCCACTGAGGAGCTGATCCAGACACAAAAGAGAACACATCTACATTGCTTGATAGACTCCCTGAAAAACCTTTCTCTAGATATCATTCTCACACTAGCTCAGCGAATCAAAATCAACTTCCCTATTATGTCTTCCATCTGACCTCAAAGGTTAACCTCTGGGAGTCAAGCCAAGATACACTTCCACTAAAAATAATAGCCTGCTAAACTATTATTTAACAAAGCTATGTTATGGCAGTGGGAAAGTAACTGAAGATAAGATACCTGATCGGGACCAATAATGGTGTTGATTTTTCTTTGGATTTTGTCAAGAATCTTTACATATATAGCAGAAGCACCAGACCAGATGTGTTTTGTTATTTGCATATTTTAGATAGTGACAGTAAAATACACACTATAAGATTATCCAAGGTGAAAAAGAGGATCCTCTTGGATTTGTGCTGAAAATGATCCATTCGACTTTCACACAGGAAAAGATCCCAACCAAAATTCATGCTAATATCAAGAAACTCATTAGACAACTAACTGGAAAGGATCAGTATAAAAATAAATAGACATAACGTAACATGTTTATACTATTAATAATTCAACAAATCAAGTTTGAATATATGTATGGAGGAAAGATGTATGACAATGTTGAAAATGTTTTCATGTGAAGTATTTCGTGTATGTATGTTTGAGTACATCAATAAGTTCAGTTTAATGAAAGTATTTATTTTATCCCCAAATATTTTTCAATATCATCTTCTTTGTTTATACACTTGTAAACTTACTTTATACATTTAATTTTATTAAAATTCTTAATAAATACACTTTTACAAACATTCAAATTGTTTACATTTTTTCTAATAAATGTTTGAAAGTTATTTTTTTACTTTTAATTATTTTCTCTAATAAATCTCTGTGAATGTGTGACTGAATCTAGCAATAGAAAAGCAATTTACTTGGCTTTGCTTACTGACTGCTAGGTTTCTACTTTTTTTTTAAAAAAGCATGACTCATTTTTTTCTGGCAACACCATCGTTTTTTCTCCAATCAATCCCATAAAATGGCTTTCTAACTTTTTTTATTTATTTTAAATCAAATTTTATAACTTAAACTTTTATTATAAGTTCAACAACAAAGAAACTTTCAAAATTAAAGACTGCTGTTTTACACTACACACGCTTCTTTTCCATTCACTTTACATTTTCTTAAACATTTTCAATTAAGTTTTAAAACGTTAGAAATAAGAAACAATACATTCGGTTAAAAAAGTATAAAAACGATAGTTTTTTAAAATTATTTTTCGAAAAAAAAAAAAAGATCCTTTTTTTTTTAAAGATGATTGAAGGTTTGTCGCTTTCCTTCCTGACTTATTGCCGTTTTTTAGTCATCGTATTTTTTATTTTCACGGCCAGATTAAAATTTAATAAAACCTAGATTTCGAATCGTATTATTATTATTTTTTTGTTGTTTTAATGCAAGTCTGACATTAGGTGATATTTATTTAAAAGAAAAAAAAAGTAACACGTGGGAACAATATCTTTTGGTGTAGAATATTAAGAAAGACAAACATGTCTACCGCAAACACCGGTTAAATCAATAAGTTAGGAAAATAATACATTATTTTCCAATATTGAACAAAAATAAAAAGGAAACGGGCATTTTTCAGGAAATATTTTCATTTTGTTTGAGAGAGAAATTTGAGGTAACGGTTAGATTGCAGTTCAAACTTTGAAATTGTCTCCCCCTGAGTGGAACTCTTCTCGAATTGAAGACCGGAAATAGATTCTAGACGGAGTGAATTGAAAGCAAATATGGCGGTGCAGTGAAAGTGTGGAATAAATTGTTTGAACTTTTTGCAGTGTATAAATTGACACATACCCATGCTCAATTCACTGAGCGAAAAACTAGTCTCTTATGTGTCACCGTCCTCTAATGGTGGACGTGCTGACATCGACAGCGTTGTAGAAGAAGTGCAATCAAGTGTTGACTATGATAATGGCGGAAAACATAAGAGGTGAGAACCTATCGAAAATTGATTTGAAAAACTGCGATTTTTATGTTATTAAAAAAGATAAGGCCGGTGTTTATGTTGATTTTTGGATCATATGAAGAATTATCAAAAACTGTCGATATCTCGGTCTTTGATTTAACATTGGAACGCATAAAATACTTAAAATTCAATAAAAACTTGCCCGTGTTTATTATTTTGGTCTCTTAAAAACAAAGTGTTCATACTTAGTTTTAAATTTCACAGCTTTTTCTATTTTTTAAATTACGTAAATATTTATTGTTTTCTCTGAGATGACCGCCTTGAAAAGATGAGTTTTGTTAATTTTATTTAGGCAACGTCAAACCTAATTCAGTCTTACGCGTTGATTTTTGTATCTTTAAAATAAAAATAAAATTAGGCTTCGTATTCAGTGTTTAATTTTTAAATCAATTTTTATATTAACTTTTTACTGAAAAATAGTTTTAAAAAAGTTAACACTTTTTGAACATTAATTTAAATGTTATTTATTTTCATTTATTTACTTTTTTATTTTTGCAACATTTTTTTTTAATTACAAAATTTAATTTTTTACCGAAATTTTGAGTTATGCCTTGACGCTCGAGAAATATGTGAAAAGTGAAACTAATAAATTTCATAGTCAATCATAAAAAATATATTAATTTGAAAATTGTAAGTTACTCGAGTCCGTGGCTTGAACGAAAAAAATGTAAGCAAAAAAATTTTGTCATGTGTTGTCCGTATCTAAAAACAAAACGTGGGAATAAAATAAATAAATACATTCAGTTTTTTCGCATATCTCTCTTGTCAAGAAATATTGACAGTCTTATTTTTAATAATAAAGTTTTTTTTAATTGGTCACTGGGTCATTATCTGCATATTAACCAATTTTTTATATGAAGCACAACCTTTTTTTTTTTTTTTTTTTTTTTTCTTAAATATCTGTCAATACACTAGTCATCAGTCCTTTTGAACAGGAGTAGATGTTTATCCCTTATTCCCTGTTTAGGATTCGCTTTCAATCCCAGTTAGGCCCTTGTATCTTAGTGAAATTATCGCCTTGCTTGAGATGAATTAATTTAAATATATATATATATATATATATATAACTTGTACATGGTCAGATTTTATTATACAAGACAATATTTAAAAAAAAAAAATAAAATAAAATTTATTTATTCTTGTTACTGTGCATTGAAATTGGACAGCTGTCTCCAGGTGCACAAAAACATACACCTCCATTGCATGAAGAAAAGTACTAACTTGTAAAATACATTGAAAACTGGCAGTTCATTTGATGCAGAGCTCAAGGATAAAAGCTGTCCTTTAAGCACTTTGTTCTATAACTAATAGAACTAAAATATCACTCAAAAAGGGTAACAGTTAAAACGAGTGGTACCTGGAATGCATGCTGTCTTTCATTATGTTTTTGGCTCTGCTGTGACAATGGGAATTAGAAATGTCCTTCAAGAAAGGCAGTGATCAGGGTTCTATTGTCTGCTATTGAGAGAGACCTCCAAAGGGTTGGTAGAAGCTTTAATATGTTTCTTTGAGTAAAAATATATAACTTAATTTTCATCTTATATCTCATTATTTAAAATATTGATGATAACTTGTTTTGTGAGTGTCAGGTTTTATTATGTTGATTTTAGGCCGAAAGTATGGAGCACCCAGTGAGGACTGAACTATTCAGTCATAATTGATTTGACAAGACAAGCTTGCTATCCATTACGTCATGTTGAGTGCCCTAGGTTTTATGTAAAATAATATAAATTTTTATGAATAAAACCAAGATATAGGTCACAAAAACATACATTTAATTAACCATAGCCCATATAAATGTTAATATAAGATTGTTGACTTATTGCAGAGTTTAAATTTTGGCATAGTTTATTGCGTTCACTTTTACACAAATAGACTTTGGGAAAGGTATAAATCTTATTTGGACATCCAGTTCTTCAATTTTTCTTTCAGAATGAGAAATTGAAGAGCTGAGTTCATATTCCAGCTGGGGATTTGTTACATTCACTTATGGGGAAGATATGAATACATCTCCTCCCCAATCTATGGGTTAAATAGTAGGATTTGTAACTGGAAAAATCATTATTCTCAAAAATATTGTTAATGCAATATTCATTTGCCGAAATAGAAAAAAAGTATTATTCTAACAATCTAAAATATATTTCAGCTTTAAATAACCCACAAAGGGTTGATAAGCTTTAAAATAAACAAACAGAAACTCTTTTCCTTCAGCTATGGGTTAAATAGCACGACAGACCTTGCTCTCTAGCTGTGGTTGGCAATCAGTCTCGGAAAAGGACAACTCTGAATTCAAAACTGTTTGGATCCATTATAGAAATCATAGCAGCAACACATTGCTTAGTGAAGCTGTAGCCCTATTCTCTACAGGGGGTGTTAAACAACATCAAGTCTGGTCGGTATCTAAATTGTGCTGTAAGCTTGGCTATGTGGCTGGTGTAATGGATAATGATATGGAATTGTTAATTGGACAAAATCGACTTCCTGTTGGGTTCATTAGATTCACTTATACGCAAATATTGTTAGGAAAGTTATAAACCCACTTCTGCTAGGTATGGTTTAATTAGTAAGAGTTTTATCAGTAAACCCATATTATCTCCAAACAAAAATATTCTTACAATCTAAAAAGAAATATTGTCTATATTTGGCTTTAAATAACCTGCAAACAGTTTCTAAGCCATAAAAAATGAATGAATCAATAAAACACTCTACAGGAGAATGGTATTAATAAAGAGGAGGCAGCACATTTTATAAACTTCAGTTTTTCATTTTTTTTTTTTTTTTTTACTCAGCAGTGTTTTTATTGCTTCCTGTGGGTCTTCTTTGCTTGATTTATTTTTCTCTTTATTGCCATTTTCTTATATATCCCTCTTATACTGAGGGATCACAAGTTTTCTATTGAATTAATATCTAGAGATGTTGGGGACCATTCCACTAATTTGGTGTTGAAACCCTTTTTACAATTTTTGCAGAATGTGAAGGAACATTGTTTTTCATGAACATAACTTTTCCAGCCAACTTTAATCTGGAAAAATTTAAATGCAATGTCAATTGCTATCTACTGTACTCCTGATTACTCTTTCCTTTTCCCGCTCATTATTAATGTTTCAGTTTCTAATTCTTTCACACCCTGTTACCCCTTGTGGCTTTACTGCCTTGCATGGGGTGATACTTTTTTTTTTTTTTTTTAATCTGTATCACCCCCAAGCAAACGCAAGGTGGGGTTTACAGGGTGTGGAAGAATAGGAACAGGAACATTAATAGTGAGCAGAGAGGGAAAGGAGTAATCAGGAGGACAGTAGATTTAAATTTTTGTAGATTAAAGTTGACTGGAAAGCATGGATTTGAAAAGAAGTTCCACAAGTAAGAAGTGTGAGGAAAGAAACTGTTAGCATAGAACTTACAGCTGCATCTAGCTTGTTCAACTGTCAATTGACAAGATCTCGACACCAGTCTGGTATTGTGCTTAAATTGATAAAGTCTAGGTACCAAAGTGAAGAGCATCTCTGAACAAATACCATGAACGTTTTTATAAAAATGTCACAGAGGCAATATTTTGGTGGTGGGTAAGTGATTGAAACTGAGCCACTTATTAAAAAAAAAAAAAAAAAAAAAAAGAAACTCTACAGTTTTTGGTTGTGATCTGTAGAATTAAAAAATATCTCCAAGAATATACAGCATTTATCTTCATCATAAACTTTGAAGGAACATTTAATTTTAATGCCTATAATACTAGACCAAGATATTACTCCACCTCCCCACTGTTTTTTTTCCGAGTTGTGTTGATTGACTATTTCTTTGAAAGAACCAACCTCAGTCCAGCTGTCAGGACCATCCAATAGTACAATACAGTTATTACTAAAAATTAGTTGAGAAATACGTTTTTATGTACTACTTTAGCCAATTTCTCAAATGGTAGTTTGGTTGCTTTCATGTTTTTAGGCAATTTTAATATTTGGAATATTTTCTTTGCTTATTACTCACTTCATTTTCCTCAAATCTCAATTTTAAATCCAGTTTTTATTCTTGTTTTTGATTGATCTTCGACGTCTTCCTAATGTTGTAATCGCCTTGCTCAATAATACATGTGTTCATCTTGTCTGGTATCCTGCATGTGGAGAGTGCTCTTTCCCAACTGAGAAAAAGCTGGTATCATATGGTGCTCTCTCAGCCCCAGAGACACACTGACTATTGGCAAATACCCGCCTAGTATTGTTTGTATACAAATTTTGTTAGTGCTCTATGTAGAATGTCCTCTCTCAACATCCAATTATAGAAGGGGACGTAACTCCTGGTGTTTACTGCTCCACATGCAACCAACTCTGGGTCTCTTGTTGGGTTGACCCTATTCTTCATTACAATTTATAATATATTGTTTCTCTTTTAATCTTACCTTTCTTAGGACTCTAAGTATTTTTTTCTATATCTGAAGGGAATAAGTAATTATCTTGTGTATTTGTTTCATGGAAATCACTTAAGCCGAAGTGTGCCTCTACCTGTTCAGCCATTTTGGGTATGAAATTGTAGCTAGCAGACATAAATTCATAGAAGTCCCAACACACTGTTTTTGGAAGATCTGTTATTACAATGTTATAATAAAAAAGATGATGGAAACAAAAAAAAAAAAGAATCTAACTGAAATTGGCTGGATTATATATTAAAATATTAAAAAAAGAAAAAAAAATTATTTTTTTTTTTTCTAAATTTAAAATTCCCAGTGTCTCTTGTTTGTGCCCATATGTAGTTGCATCAAAGTAAAAATACCAAGTCTGATGAAGTCCTAAGGGATGAAACACCTTGCATGAAAACTTTTCCACTTTGTCATACATCTTTCCTCTGAAACTGTTCTTGATATATAAAAATTTATATATCATTATCCTATATTTTCCTATAAAAATGTAATTCCAAAACTTACCATGTCAGGCTGCTTTCCATGGCTGAGCTGGCAGAAGCATACTTTACTTCAAAAAGTGGTTTCTCTGATTGAGAAAAGGATGCAGGTTCGATTCCTGTTGGAGGAAGTTTTCCTTTAATTGGAATTCTCAATCTAGGCTGGTTGTTATTAATTTAATTTTAAGAAAATAAAAAACATGGATAACAACTTGAACACACGTCCCCACTAACGTAAGTTTTATAGCAATAAGAAATAATGTCAGTTAAAAAAATCCTTTTGAAGAAATGTAAACTGTTGTTTATGTTTCATATACGAAACTGAAGCTGTAGATTTGTAGAAGTCTCAACAAGAAAGAACTTTCCTTAACAGGTAATGTGTTTATTTACAACATGATGGACAAACTTTGAGTTGTGTAATAAAATCTCACACCACCAAAGAAATTATTGTAAAGATTTTCTATTAAAAACAAACATAAGTTGGAATTTGTTTGATATATTTATCATAGAAATGATAACAACTACACCACTTTCCCGAAATGTTGCAAGCTCCATTGCTATTTCCATGGAAAATGGTCAGTTGAACTACACTCCTTAGTTTCACCAGTTCTAACCCCCATGCCATATCATTGTAGTGAACCACCCTCATTCTTTCCATATTCCATTGGTGAGATTTAAGTTCAACTGCAGCAGCAGCTTCCCACAGACAGCTGCTTTGTGGAATTAACTCCCAAGAGGATGCCCCCACCCCCGATCAATAGTCTTAACTTGTTAAAGTTTAAGGTTAATCCGTTATCTTCCCCACATATCCCCGTAAATTGTGACTCTTACTATGTAACCCCTTACTTCGTGTGGCCTTTAGGTCTTGTACAGGGTGAACATTATATCTGACTTTTTGTTTAGACATCAGTCCATTTTTTTTTTTTTTTTTTTTTTTTTTTTGAAGTTGTTTACATTTGAACAATAGTCCCAATTGATTTGTTTTTTTTTTTAGCTTATCAACCTTTTGCAGGTTATTTAAAGCCAAAAAACTTTTTTTAGATTGTAAGAATTTGGAGGGAGATAATGAGTTACTAATTAGCCCATAGCTTAGAAAAGATGCATTCATACCTTTCCCAATAGTATTTGCACATAAGTGAATATGAATAACCCAACTGCAATTGAAACTTGGATCTCAGATTTACAATTCTAAGCCGTTATCCATTACACCACCTGCACATCCAAGTTACACTGCACCTGGTATTCTCAAGCAGATACTCATCTAGGTACTAACCAGGCTCAACATTGCTTAACTTTAGCGTTCATATGAGAACTGGTATTTCAACAACATGATGTTGAAATACCAGTTCTCATGTGAACGCTAAAGTTAAGCAATAGTCCCAAAGAGCTTCTCGGAATTTATAAACGCAAAACCTTATTTGGTGTTATGCTGGCATTTATTGTTACAATAAAAATCCAGTAAAAAAAAAAAAAAAAAAAATTCTAGATTTTGAAACTTTTGTAATCTTCTGGATATTTAAATAAAATGAGATCCAAGGTTCAGCAGGGGGGTTTTGAGCTGATCCTTGAATTGACGATGTGGAACTTTGCGTTATATTGAAACAAGAAGCTAACATTATTGAAAAACACATGTAGAATGGAATCATTAATAGCATTGGGAAATGCATGGATCCATTTCTCCCTCACCTGTCCATATTGGGTGACAGACTAGCAGATCAGCTTTATAAAAATGTGGTCCTCACTAAATTCCACAAGTAGTCTGCAGGAATTAACAAAACGTCAAAGCTTTTTTCTAGATGAGGTGTTTATCTGTACATTTGTGGTGAAGCATTTGATGAGATGTTCATTAACAGAAGTTCGGATGTACAAGGGGCCAGGGGAAAAATCCTCCTCCTCCCCAATTATCAGTTATAACCACATTTCAGGTTGATGTGTCCTCCCTTATTCCTTCTTGTGTCTGTGTTTTTCTTGGACAGATCTTCAAGTCATGGTTCAATTGTCTTTCCTTATCTTCATAATTTTCACTTCCTGCCACCCCTTTCATTCATATACAACTTATTTATTAGAACTATTTTAGCAGCACTCCTCTTCCTTAAGTGGTTCTTGAGCCTTATATTGGGAACTTTAGTATAATAAAAAAAAAAGATTTAGAACCATCTCCTCCAACTGGGTGGATCACAGTGTACTTGCAAGCAGACATTTGGTATCCCCCCCACCCCAAGTGGTTTGTCTACTTTCAGACAATATAGAACAGTCTCAAGATTTTAACTTTGTCCTAATTCCAAGTATTTATTTGTCAAGTTATGATCGTTCGAAGTTAATCAGAACTCGCATGCATTTAATCACCTACTATTAGATGATCAATTCTGGATAGTTGCTTTTTTCTGTCACTTTTTGCTAAGCAGTTTGAATCTTGTTGAAATCAATCTTATAATTAACAGGTTTAACTCAATACTCTTTTCTTTTTTAAAAAAAAATTACCTATTCCATGGATTATATGGCTGTACAATACAAAATTCAGTCAATACAATTTATTGTCATGTTTTGCTTGCATTTTTGTTTCTGCTACCCCCCTCAACTTTGAATAACAGTAACAAAAAATTCCCAAGATGCGGTTTTTTTTTTTTTGTTTTTCCTCTTCTATTTTGTGTAAGTTCTCAAATGTTAAACTAATTAAAATCTGCAAAATGTAAGAACAGTGTTGTTCTTGGGTAAAGATATACATTAAATTGATCATTACCCACTTCAGGCACAAATATCAGTTTTTGATGTAACTTGTATTTATAAGAAAACCATAATCTAGACCTCTGTTTTTCTTTGTGTATGTGTTAGTATTGAATCCATTTCTGGCACTGGAAATCACCCCAAAAGAAGCCTAAATAGAATTTTGGCACTTCTCTTTAAAACTGGATTTCTGGGCTTAAAAACTTTTATTTTTAATTAGAAAATCTTTCTTTTGAGTTCAAATTCTATTAAGAGTTCCCTAACTGAGCTGAATATGATTCACAGGGTTCAAAAACATAAATGTCTTCTTGGCTCTATTGTGAGAACCCATTTTATGGCCTATAATGTATAATATGTACTAACAACAAGAAGGATGAAGATAATTTTCTTTTTGCAATACATCTACAATCAAAGAGAAAAAAAAATTCTATGGTGAAAGAATTTCTCTTGAATAAACACATAAGTTTGAAGGATTTTGTATTGAATAAATTTTGATTTAATCTGAATAACTTGTAATATATAAATGACTTTTACTTTATTTTTTTTTTTAATTTTAAACTCCAGATGTGAACCAATAGATGTTGATGCATCTTCACCTTGTGTAAAAAGGAGGAGGATTGAAGAAGGTTGTAAGTAATCAATGCTTAGTAATTCACTAACAACGGCTTGCATAGCCATCCTTGCTCTGGGGCATGTGCCTTTAAATATCTAGATACATCAATAAATCTGTAGACTCATGAAAAAAAAACAACCTAATATCCTTTCTTGTCAATGCACTTAATTCAATGCTTTTCCATTAATCATATATATATATATATATATATATATATATATATGGGTTTATAAAGTGCTCAATATCAGGGATAGAGCATGTGTAAATATAAAAAAGTGGACATTGAAGTAAACACGTGACAGTCTGTTTTATGATTATATGTAATCATCAAGTCATGTGCGTTGTTTTTGGTTGGTGATGCATTCTGGGTTAGCCTGTTATTCTAATGCAGACATTAAAAATTTTTACTATGTTACTTAAAAATAAAAATACAAGGTAAATTAATCCAAAACAATAATAAACAAAAATGAATGTAATAACAAGCAACAATAAAATAATCTATAATAAAGTTAACAAGCAACACTATAAAATGGGCCCCAAAACTGTACCCAGATCCAAAATTATTTCTACTCAATAGCTCCTAGAATAAGTTGAAGCATAACTGTTACTGTCTACCCAAATAACCATTAGAATAATATAATAGGCCCACTCATAAAGTATCACTGAACAGTATATAAATAGTCAAGCAAAAAAAAAAACAATGCACATGATCAGATGATTTCACTTAAGTCCTTACCGGATGTAGACTTCAATGTCCAATTTTATATAGTGTAATGGATAAATTGTCATTTAAATTACACAAAAACTAAAATTTTAATCTAATTTTAACAGATATATTTACCAAAATTGCACAAAAATATCTTGAGATATTACAGATAAAATCAACATAGGCTTCGACCACAGCCTCCAGATGACTTCAGAATCTCCTGCAATTCTTCTGGATGCTCTCCTTGTTTAATTTGGTGAATGCTACCATAATCCTTGCCTTCAGTTCATCTTTGGTGTTGCAAGGATTTTTGTTGGTTTTTCGCTCAACTGCACCCCACATATAACAATCAAGGGAGTTGCAGTCTGGGGAGTTAGATGGCCAGATGTAAGGGGTGATGTAGTTGCAGAAATTGTCTGACTGCCATGACTGAATTCTCCTGTTTGTGTGGCATGGTACAGTCCCCTGTTGCCAGATATAGGGTTTTCCAGCAGCACTACCTCCTCAAGGCACTTTATGTAGGTCTCCATGTTGAGACAGGCCCTTATCAACAAATTCCAGAGTTCTTATCAGAGTGAGTTTTTTTGAGTTGCTGTACCTTCATAATCACCATTAGACTCATCTAACTCTTTCCAAATTCTATGCACTGACACCCAAACCCTCTGTTTGTATTGGAGCTTCTAGCATGAATGCCAACCAGTACAGCATGCCGTTTCCAAATTTCTGGTGGAGTTGATTATGTCATGCTCTTTTTCTAACAGACAGTACCCAGCTTACCCTACTATACATTGTCAACAAAACCAAAAACAAACAGCGTGCATGCGCAAAATTAAAAATATAAAAATGGCAACAATTTACCCATCGCACCCTGTATATACATACAGTGTCTACCAAAAATTGTATACACACTTCAGGAAAGAAAATACTTGTATACATATTGTAATACTAAATGAATTCAGACCTAATGCAATTAATACAAGTTAACTTTTGACTCAACAATCACAAGAAATGCTCAAATGGTGATCTTTAGCTTCCAAACATTTATTAGTATGGTGAACTACTGCTTGGACAACGTTGGCCAGTGGGCTTGCTTGCGCATGCATTTTCAATTTCTTCTCTAGGACTTGTTGCTACAACCAGGGGTAATGCCATCCATTGAGGAAATATGTTATTGCAATTTGATGAAACTATGAAGGACAAGTCCCCCCCCCTTATCTGAAGTGTGTATACATTTTTTGGTGGGCTATATATATATATATATATATATATATATATATATATATATATATAATAATCTCTTTAAAAATCCTTACATTTGCTCTAGTAAAGTTCACCAGAGGATGAAACACAGCTAAGTTTTCCTTTTCTTTTTATTCACATTGTCCTTTTACATTTTACTTTTGTTATTTTTACTTGTATCTAAATTTTTACACACATGCACAATATATAAAAAAATATTTATATTTCCTTGTTTTTTATGACTTAGTTTCATATGGATGTGCAGTTTATTTATAGGTGGTTACACAATTGTCTTGTGGTTTAAAAGAGACAGGAAATTCAATTCCAAAATTTCCAATTTAAAACTGAACATCCACATGAAAGTCTTGGAGGACACAGTAATATAAGTTTCTTTTTATATATTGTATTTTTGTATATTTTTTAATATATTTTTTGTATATATTCTATATTTTACATTGTGTTTTTTGTAGTGTCCATTTATTATTTGTTTTATAAAATATATATAATTTTTTTTTTTTTTTTTAATTAGGTTCTTTCCCCAAACACTACAATCAATCTCTTCATGTTGAGGGTCAACTATTATCTATCCTACATATCCTCATAATATGAAGCACTTATTTCCTCCCTTTTGACAACCTCATTTAGTAACCTTCTACCTTGTTTGTCTCTTGGACTTTGTATTGGATGAAAAATAATAAAAAAGAAAGAAAAGTGAGGAGTTAATTTATAAATTTTTACTACTGACCTTTGAGTTCCATCTACTTGTATCTTTCTCTTTCTCGATAAAATTTTTGATATTTTTCTGCCTAAATGTTTTCATGTTTCTTCTCCAGTTGTTCAGAAGGTGACAAATTCTGTTGCCAAGATGGCTGAATGGTTAGTGCATGGTACAAACTACCTCTTTGGCCGCCTCGACGAGCCACACTTGAATTTGAAAGAAATTGTGGAAGAAGATGAAGAAAATGGTCAACGTCTTGATGAAATGGTTGATGAGCTGGAAGATGCTGAAGATGATTACAGGTTTTTGAATCTGCCAAACAGCAAACTATCCTCGACCCACAAGAGCCAACATCAAGAAAATGAAGTAAATATTGGCACTGTGAAAGTCGAACCCGATTCCCAAATAAAATCTGCCCATTTCTTGAAATCCTTCTCTCTGACATTCCCCATGTCCTGTAACCGAAAGGTGAGATCTTGTGTGTTCCCTTTTGGACATACCAATGAGAAAAACAGAGAATTTCCTGATTGTGCCTTCCACTGAAATTGATTGTTTCTAAAAAGAAGAAAGAAAACTCATCAAAGAAAAAAAAAATAATAAACAAAGAATTTTAATGTTAGGAAAAAACAAAACAAAAGCAGCTCTCTATATAAAAGATTTTTAACATCAGATTAAACTGTCAAAAATAGGAAGGAATTAAACTATTTTTTGGACACTGATGGCATGTCATCAATAGGAATTTGATATTTAAATAGGACAGTGGAAGGTAATCAGTTTAGATGAAAACTTTTCTTTTTCTTGCATTTCTGAGAAGTTGTCTTCCAACATGGGTATGATTTTGATGAAATTTAAATTAAATTTTTCTGGAAAAAAAATCTTTTCCATATAATTAGGAAATATTCTATTTTTAGATGCATTTATCTTTCAAATTTTTTTTTTCCTTCAGAGATTGTCTCCTCTCAAAATGATGATCACTTTATGTTTTTAACCTTTTAGCACTCTGCATTATTAATATTACTTCCCTTTCTACTGCGTCCTTTTTCAAGGGCTCTCAATTTCAGTCTCCTTATTGTTAATTTCCCTCAAAGTTGTTTTCTGTTGCCATAGCAGGATATGAAAACATAACAATGAAATTCAAACACATTCCAATTCATTATATACATTGTTTGGACTATTGTCCTCATCTTTATTATCATATTCACAGCGTTTTGGCTGTTGTATGCTCTAGCCTCCTTCAGGTGATATATGTTGGAATTTTGAACCAAACCCTTTATTTTGTCCACAGGGGTAGATTGTTCTAGTTCCACGTGCCATGCCTCTTCCAGATATCTCAGTTTCAGTTATTTCCCTTTAGTAACTCAACTCTCCAAGTTTTTGTTCACCTCTGCTGTGGCCAGGTATTGAACTCACAACTCTTTGAGTGAAGTCACTGGATTACTTCAACCAAGACTTTTATCCACTGGGCCATTTGTCCTAAAGGGAAATAACTGAAACTGAGATTTCAAAAATTCCAACCTATATCACCTGAAGAAGGCAGTAGTATATAATGGTTGAAATGTTGAGAATATGACAATAAAGATGAGGACAACATTCCGAATAGTGTAAATAGTTACAATACCTCATCTCGGAAATATAGACAGATATTCAAATTCAGAGATGAAATTTTTGCATAGGAAATGAAGTCACATGGTAAAGGTTAACAGAAACATTTTAAGAAAAATAAACCAAAAATGTTTCTTTTCTAAAGATGATTGTTGGAAAAATATTTTTACTTAATAAATTTGTAATTTCACTTTCATTAGTCATTGATTTCATCAGACAGTTAAGTTGTGAGCATTTTTTACCTGTCAGTGTTGGAATGGTTATTTCTAAATTTTTCTCAATCGGAATTATCCATTTTAACCCCCCTCCCACACATCTTAAATTTGTTTCATTGTTTTATAAACATTATATATATTTTTTAATTTTATTTTAATGTTTCAGTATCTTCACAGACCATCCATACATGATCGATCAAGATTGTTTGGTAAGATCAGAACTTCCCTTTCCACTTTTTGCCATTTGTAATCAAATTTATTTGATACAATTTAACTTATAATTAAAAAAAAAAATACTGAACATTTAATAAAATGCATCATTTGGATTTCACTGGTACACATAGTAAGCTGTAGTTCATTAGGGGCTTTGCAACAGCATGCCCCTTCTCTGGTAAGATGATCAATACTGTTGAAATATCGATTTGTTATTTATTGTTGGATGTAAGTGACTGTCTCTCATTGCAACAGAACACTCTTCAATATCTGGTTGCATACTTTCATGTAATTTAAAAAAGAAAAAAAAATTGTTTTCAACTATATTGTATATAAGGAACCTACAACCAATACTAAATAAAGTTAGTTATGAATATTAAAAAGTTTTAATATAAAAAAAGGTTTTAAAATGCCTATAATAGCAATGTTTTTAAAATGTTTGAATTATAATTATTAAAAATTACAATTTAATAAATTAAAGTTAGATAAAAATATGAGCAAACATAATAGCTTTAACAGTTACTTTTTAAATTGTTATAGAGCACGTTTCATGCACATTTAGAAAGATTTTCACAACTATTAATTACATTAATTTTTTGTTTTAGCAATTCACTCCTGAAGATGATCTTGGATGAGATCCATTTATTGTTGGCATTTGTTTTGTTTTTTTTTTTTTTATCTTTTTGGAGAGATACATTACTTTATTGATGACTAATTGTTTTTTTTTTTTTTTTTTTTTTTGACCAAGCAATATTTTACTCTGAAATCATTGAAGTCTACCTGATTTGTGATCTTGCTTGTGTTTAAATTATGTTACATACTTCTTAATGAGAGATGAAAAGCCAAAACAGCGTTTATTATTTTTTACTAAATTCAGAGTTACTGATTCCTTTTAGTGAATTGGCAAAAGATCCAGGAGGAGATATGAGTTTTGTTTCAAAAACTTGCTCACTTGATATTGATGGTCAATATGTTCCAGGTTTTCATATTGACATCTTGCATGAATATTTTAGAAGAACCATAATTTCTTGATGGCATTTCATTTGATTTGAGTCAATTCATATAAGTCAGCTTTAAACTGATTAAATTAATCTTGGACATACATGGATGGTGTCAAGCAGAAAAATTAATGGATGAAATAATGACTTTTCTTTTTTCTTAAATTTTTTTTTTTTTTTTTTTTTTTTTTTTTTTTTTTAACGAATCTTTTTGTCATTAACATTTGATTGCCAATGATATTAGAGTGATTAGTTTTAGAACTTTGTGGTGATAATTATTTTATAAATAGTGAAGGATTCCACATTTGAGCAGCCACTGGTCATGCTAAGAGGATTTTAATTTCAGAGTTATTGAAAACTAGAGCCATTTATATAGTCAATATCCTCCCCCACACAAAAAAAAATCTTAATTCATTCACCCTTTGTATGAAAGGTTTTTGTTGACTTGTGATGCCTTTGCAGTCAGTCTGCCATTTTCATTTTTATCGATGAGAAATTTTTTTGCTCCTTTTTTTTACTTTCAGATCAAGAAAACAAACAAATTAATGGAAATGCGACTGCCATCCACTTTCTTTATTCTTCAAGTGAGTATAAATCAACACAGTTCTTTTTCTTTGGGGCAGGGAGAATCCCGTATGATAAAAAAAAAAAATCACCAACAAAAAATTTAGTTTGCAAATTAATCCTTAAACATCCATCTTAATATTGGTTTTTCAATAACCATAAAAAATAGTTATGGATTCTTTTTTTAATAAAATACTCAAATTATAAGTTAGACATGGTATTCACTCAAAGTTTTTTATATATATATATATATATGTTTCATTAAATAATATAGACAAGTTGTGTCTATTTTAAGTAAGTTCCTTTCATATTGTCTGATAAGCTTAATAACATTATCATTGAAAAACGAAAGGAAATCACCATATTGATACATGTTTAAATGGATTAAATAATATTTATGTTGGTCACACCACAAGCTCACTTTCATGATGCTTGACTTTACATTTGAATGATAACTCTAGCATTTTTAGGCATTTAAAACAACATGCTGGGCCGCATACACAATTCCAGAAAATCCTCGTTGAAAATACAACTATACTTAAACATGAAAACAATAATCCAAAACTAAAAATTCTTGAAGCTATATACATAAAACAGTTGAAACCTAACCTGAACAAAATAAACTACGAAATCTCCACAAATATTCTTAAATGCCTATAATTGATAACTGAAGCCATTGGTTTATACCAACGGCTTCCCATACTTAATACTTCTCATTTTCACTCTTGCGTGGTCATGTGTGACGTCATGAGCTGTGATGTGATTTTCACTTCCGCGTCTCGTATAACCGAGTTTGTCATTGCTTTGAAATTTTTCATGCAACAAAGACAGACCCTATTATTGTTTCGTCCATGTATTGTTTGATATATTGAAATGTAATTGTAATCTTTAATAATGGCTTATGTAAGCTGAAAGCTTAGTATGTCCTGGGTAAGATGTTAAACTACGTCCAGCAGCAAGGCCTCTGATCAGGAGGTTTTGAGGAGCATGGAACCACCTCTTAATTGCTGGTGTTCCCAGGTCCACCCTGACCCAGGGTGGTAGCACCTGTTAGGGTCCCAGCTATGGGCAAATAGTTAACTATTACCAGCAATACTTTTTTGAAAAAATTATTACCAGCAATACAATTATATTACCAGAAACAGATTTTTGACAAAACAAAATATTACCAGCAATAAAAATTTTTGTCAGTATTAAATAACCCATTGAGATTGATATGCCATTAAACAAAATAAACCAAACCAAACCTTAGATCAGATTTAAACATGTATCAATATGATGATTTCCTTTCGTCTTTCAATGATAATGTTATTAAGCTTATCAGACAATATGAAAGGAACTTACTTAAAATAGACACAACTTGTCTATATTATTTAATGAAAAATTGCTGCCTATATATATATATATATATATATATATATATATGTTGCGGTGGGTAAATTGTCAGCTAAACTACACAAAAATGAAAATAATATTGAAATCTTACTTTAAGAGATATATTTATCAAAATTATACAAAAAATATATTTAAATACTAAAAAGTAAATTCATTCAATAAAATCGCCATTAATTTCAAGCACAGCCTCCAGATGACTTTGGAATCTCCTGCAACTCTTCTGGACAGTCTCCGTCTTTAATTTGGTGAATGCTGTCATAATCCTTTCTTTCAATTCATCTTTGGTGTTACAAGGCGTTTTGTTGGTCTCTCTCAACTGCACTCCACACATAATCATGGTGGTTGCAGTCTTGGTAGTGAGGTGGCCAGATGTAAGGTGTTTGCAGAAATTGTCTGACAGACATGACTCTGCTTTTCATATTAGAAGGACCAGAGTGAGTTTCCCAAGCTGCCATACTTTCATAATCAGTATTAGACTTGTCTAACTCTTTCCAAATCTTCTGCACTGTCCTCAGATTGACAGCCAAGCATTCTGAAATGTTCATATTGGCGCTTCTGGCATGAATGCTGAGCGATATCCAAATTTCTGGTGGACTGAATTGCATTATGGTGCTCTTTTTCTCACAGACTGTGTCCAAGTTGACCAAAATAAACAACACATGTGTGCAAAATTAGAAATATAAATGGCAACAATTTACCTATTGCTCAATGTATGTTTTTTTTTATATATATTTGATATTATTGTGTAGGAGTGGTACTTTTTTTTTTTTTTTCCAAACTCATTGGTGGTTTGTTTTTCTGATGCTTTGTTTTAATTATTCACTCCTTAAACAAAATTGTGTTACAATGTTAACTTGTTCTAAATTACACACAATACTGTCTTTCTGTTATTTATTTTTTAGAGTCTCAGAATGTACCAAAGTCACAACTATCAATCCACAATGGTGGTGGGTCCAAATATATGCTTAGTCCAAGGGTCCGTGTAAACTGCTCCAATATGAAAACTGTTGGCTTGTCTGGCAACAAATTGTACAGTATACCCTGTCAACCCAAAGTCCGCAATGATGTATGTAATGTGGTGCAGAAGCCTCACATGCACACAGCTGCCCAGGTAAGTTAAATTCGGTTGAAAAAAAAATCTGCAATTTTAGCGACTAAAACTGCAGAATTTTCTTTTTTTTCTTTTTTCTAGGTGGTGGTGGAGGTTGTTGACTAGACTAAGAACAAGGGAGGCAATGCTGATAGATGAAACTTTTTTTTTATTTGCTTTATCAGTGTTTACATTCAGGTAGATTCTGGATTTAAAATCTCACTTTTCAAAATAGGCACATATCAAAATAATTTCATTTTAAAGAAAAAAACAAACCTTGTCAATCTGGTGGGTTAACCATAAGTTATGAAGCTGTCTATCACAAAAAATTTTCAAGTTGAAAACTTTAGTGGACACAATACATATTAAACTCTTAAAAAAAAAAAAGAAAAAAAATGAAAATTACACCTCTTGTAGAGCAATGTCTCAACTTTAATAATCAGTTGATTTTCTATCTCTGCACCAACACAACTCGAGGTGCACACAAATCAAAAAGATTTCTGATAAATTTTTTTCTTTACAAATTAAACTTGAAATGTAACACGGCCTTTTTAGGGATTTGTGACTTTTTACTTATATTTTTAACCTTACTAAACAAATTAGTCGCTTCATAATTTTTCTAATGTATGAGGATTTTGTTGAAAATTTTTAGGGAAAAAGAAATCCTATTTCATTGCAAAAATTTTATCTTGAATATAAATTCTTGCCTCACGTCTGTGTATATTGAGCAGTAAATTAAAATGGTCATTGAAAATGTTTTGTTTTTTTGGGAGGGGTGTGTTTTTTGTGTGTGTTTCTTTGTTTTGTTCTACAATCAAAAGAGGTAATTTAATGCACTTCAAAGTTTTGGGGGTTCATTCATTTTCTTTTTTTTTTTTTTTTTTTTATCTTTGTTGGAGTTTATTGACATTGAAAAACTTTCTTTTAAATTTATAGCTGAAGAATTTGAAAATGACTTTAGTGATTTGTCAGAAAGTGAATTGAGTTTTATGATGAACAGATGCTCAGCTTGCAGAATTTTTCATTTTTAAATTTGAAAGAAAGAAAAATCTTTGCACCAGTGGATTGCAATTTTGAAATCTAAAAAAATCTCCTTCCAATGTTTATTGCCTATAAAAAGAAGAAAAAAATTGTCACAGATTTTCTTTAAAATTAAATTTCTCAAAGGGATAAAAATTTCCTGTTTTGAATGCACCTGCAACCCTATTCTCTCTGTCACCACCTGATAAGCAATAAAGTAAATACTTATTTACCCATTTTATTTCTTTACTTTTTGCTATATTTTAGTGCGTACGATTAGAAGAGAAAGAAAGATATCGTAGACTTATTCAGCAGTTCAGTCGGGGTAACCTTACTAAGCAACTTGCTGTCAAAAGTGAAGAAAAAGACTTTACTTCAGTTACGTCGAAGACTTCCAGGTGAGTGTGGAGGGGTGGGTACTTTGTAAAACTTTTTTTTAAAAATTCTTCTCTGCTTTAAGTTCTTCTGAAGATGGTTTTGTCTGTTTAATTTCTTATTTTGTGACTTGGCACATTTCCATTGTCATTGTGAAAGGAGTTCACCAATTGGAGATGAGGATGCCCAAAGTGAAGAACTGAAGATGCCTCGACCCACAGTAGCAGTTTTAGATGAGGACCTTGACAAAAACTCTCTCTCTGGGATGGCCACACCAAAACAGAAAATCCACTTCTCAGATTCTGAATCTCCAGATGAAAGTAAGGGATCTTCTCATGGCTAAATCTATCACCCCCCCCACTTTGTGTTTTTTTTGTCTTTACCCTGCCTGTCCTCTATCTGTCATTTTTTTTTTTAACTTCTCACTTCCCTCTCTCTCATATTTTCTCCCCCCCTCCGTGTCCTCTTTGCCCCCCCACTATTTTGCCTCACCTGTACCCACTCCTTTGTTTTCTTCTCCCCACCCCGTGTCACTCTTTTGTCTCCCCACCCCCGTGTCACTCTTTTGTCTCCCCCCCCCCCGTGTCACTCTTTTGTCTCCCCCACCCCGTGTCACTCTTTTTCTCCCCCCCCGTGTCACTCTTTTGTCTCCCCCCGTGTCCTCTTTTGTCTCCCCCCGTGTCACTCTTTTTGTCTCCCCCCCCCGTGTCACTCTTTGTCTCCCCCCATGTCCTCTTTTGTCTCCCCCCCCCCCGTGTCACTCTTTTGTCTCCCCCCACCCCCGTGTCCTCTTTTGTCTCCCCACCCCGTGTCACTCTTTTGTCTCCCCCACCCCCGTGTCACTCTTTTGTCTCCCCACCCCGTGTCACTCTTTTGTCTCCCCCACCCCCGTGTCACTCTTTTTTCTCCCCCCCACCCCCGTGTCACTCTTTTGTCTCCCCCCCCCCGTGTCACTCTTTTGTCTGATTATTATGCCACCAATGACGTAAGATTTTAAATAAAATTTCGAGCTTTTTAGAAAGGATTAAAATATTTAAAAAATAATTTAAAAAAATATTTTGGTCTTTCATCTTAAGAATAACAAAACCATTTTGATGATAACACTTTATTTTTATTAAGATTGTGGCCTTTTTCATTACGCTATGTTGTTTTCCCATGAAAAAGTGGAGGTAACTAATTAAAACTGAATCAGTTAATCTCGGTTTATTTTTTGTACATTTTATCTTAAATTATTCATTAATTATTATGTCTTCCTCAATTTTGCTAAGACGAGTTGTAAATCTCTTTTTATAAATTCTATGAATACAAGAAAGTTTCTTTATTTTATTTTTAATCTGAAAAGAAAAAAGATCTTGACAAAATTTCATAAAGTAACCAATTTAGTCAAAAGCAAATTTAATTTGTGAATCTGATTTTCTTTGTTGAAAGTTAGCTTTACTTTTTTTCTTTTAGGTCAGTCAGAAACTGAAAAGTCTTCAGAAAACACAAACTCTAAATCCAGGTAAAGTTCCCCCCTCCCACATTCCCAAATGAATCTTATTTTTGTTATTGATTCTAAAGAGAAAGCAACTTGTAATTTCCAAAGCAAAAATAGACTTTTACTGAGATAGGATTGAAAATTGTGTGCATGTGTTGGGTGAGTTGATTTCTCAAGGAAATTGAACATCGGGAATTGTTTAGCAGCAATAAATAAGAAATCAATTAATCATACATCCTGATGATGATATTGAAGCCAAAGCAAATGACATTTTGAAATAAATCTTGTGAAAACGCTATAAAGTCGACAAAAAAGAAGAAAATTACTTATTAATATGATTTTAGATATTACAATATTGTAAGTCCTTGAATATTTTGAGAAGTTGAATCGATTGCAAGTCCTCAAATATTTAGTGAAGTGTTAACAACAAAGATGAGGACAATAGTCCGCATATAAATGGCGTAATAAAAATTCATCATTCCAGAAATTCAGATGGAAATCATAAATAGTTGGGACCTTTCGTTATATTAACAATTTACTTTTCATTAAAACTTTTTTTACAAACATTCCTATTCATAACAGAAAAAAAATGATTATATAAAATTTCTGTACTTATCTAGCAGCCTAATTTCAAATTTATGTAGTACTTCAAGGTCTTTAAGAACAAACGAATTTAAAATAAGTTGGCATCAAAAATTAACATCTTTTAAGAAATAGGTAATTTCTGCTTGCCTTAAAAAATGCTATCCTCCAGTAATTTTTTTTAATATATTTTTTTTGAAAAATACAATATATATATATATATATATATATATATATATATATATATGAACACACTCTTTCTTATGAAAGCAAGATAAGTCTAAAGTTCTATTTTAACATTGTTGTTTTGTTTATTACTGCATTTTTTTATAAAAATTCAATACATCTGAAATAATGTTCTCAGAGTTTTTAGAACATTACTTCAGGTGTATTGAATTTTTTCTTTTTTAAGATACAAAATTTTTTATTAAAATTCTATTATTTATTTGAAAACTCACCAAGTAATTTCTTAAATTGAAAAATAATTCTGCAAAGTTTAACCAGACCAAAAAACCCCCAAAAAGATGGTGTTTCAAAAGGATGTTTTTTTTTTCTCTTGACATAACATTCTATTACTGTATATGTCCTCAGTAATTTTAAAATTTTAATAAAACCACAATGCATGAAACTGAATTGATACATTTTTTTTTCTTACCATAATTATACATTCATCATAAAATGGACAATTACATTTTCAAAAGCCTGTGAAATTAAAACAATTTTTAGAAAATTTTTCATTTTATCAGGAACTCCTATCATTTTTTTTTTTTGTTCATCCAATGAATAAGGGAATAAACACAAAAGATATTTGCATGTTTTGTGGTCATGAAAAGAATGGATGTGAAAAGAAATGTCCATAAAGTGAGTTTATAAGTTACTCCTTGTTTTCATGGAGAAACTGATTTTTGACCCAGAAATGTCGATATTGTCTTCAATATTGAAATAAACGACTTGAACCACACCTTTCTATTTAAAATAATAAAAAAAAGTCCTTGTTATTTCCCTGACAATTCTCACAATGTGTGAATGTATGAAAATAGACCATTTATGAAATATCATTTACTTTACATTTAAAAATACATTCCCCTCCCGCTCATTACCGTCAGTTTTTTTTTTTTTTTAATTTATATTTAAAAAAATTTTTTTTCTTAGCCCAAAACCCTGTGTCCGACTTAAGAACAATCCTTACTTGGCTGAAGACTGGGTTACACAATTGTAAGTATACAAAGCCAATGTTTGTTTGTTGTTGTTGTATGCTGCATTTGAGACTTCATCATGTTTGGTATTCAGACTTGGGATCTTTCTGTTTACTTTCTTGATGCTCTTCTCTAACTGGCCAAAATCTAGGAAGAATTTTACCATTAGCTTTTATCCTGCAGGAGAGAATAGGTTGGCTTTCCACCCCAGATATATTATATATATATATATATATATATTATATATATATTATATATATATATATATATATATATATATATATATATATATATATATATATATATATATATATATATATATATATATATATATATATATATATATATATTATATATATATATATATATATATTATATATATATATATATATATATATATATATATATATATATATATATATATATATATATATATATATATATATATATATATATATATATATATATATATATATTATATATATATATATTATATATATATTATATATATATATCTCCATCCTTGATCCAGGATTTACAGACTGGTCTCTCTAGCTATAGTTGGCAACCGTTACTGGATAAATCCCATGTTGGCTATGTGGGCGTTAAAAGAAAAATGTGAATGGGTCTGAGCAGACAGGCATCCATACTAAAGATGAGAAGTCACATGGCTGATGATTATAAAGACATGGTAAGTGGAGAGGATTTTATCACCATCTAAATTTTTCAGATTATTCTTTTCCATGGTTCATATTAATATCTTCAACTTTGTTGTTTTTAGCACAATAGTTTGATTGGCTAAAAAAGTTGAAACAAAAATGAGGCGGAAACCCTGTAAAATTCTGTTGGGTAATAACTGGTGGTAAAATGCAGATGCATTTCACAATATTGATCTTCTGGTTTTTATCCTCTGATTTCTCTTCCTTTATTCTCTTCTTCCAAATGACGTTTACGATTTAAAATTTTCATCCTCTGAAGACTAGAAAAACTCAATTTGGGAATGAGGATATTTTCAATATATGACGTTACTCAAATATTGACCTTCTGATTTGTTTTCTTTATGCAAACTGTTTTATTATTTAAATCAGAATAAGTCTTTGTTTAAGAAAGGAAAAAAAATCTTTAATTCCCATGATGTCTGAAAACAGGCTGCCTTCAACTTGGAAAATTAAGTTTTTATTTTTTTCTCGTACTTTAAAATTTTTATGGATTTGTGAGAATTTCTTGAAAAGACATTTTAATGAAATTGAAATTAATGTCTGGAATTTTTTCCACTTCATTGTTTTCAGTTTTTGGGTCTCAAATAGAGGAGTGGATGTTTTTCCTAATGCAATCAGGAAATATGTCCTAGATTTTAGGTCCAATAAAATGACAAACTCTTGGTCACTAATGGATTAAATGCTTGTTGTTTTGTCTATGCAACTTGAAGCTTTGATCTTTCTAACCCCTGTAAACATTTTCTTTGTTCTATCTTTAGATTTATTAGCCCATGTAGGTATTATTGTGCCAGTAAAATGAAGATGTACACTTAGGTGATCAGTTTTTAAACTTTTCTCCTAATGTTAAAAGGTAAACATGGACCTTTGTGCCAGGATAAAAAAAAACACTGCTATTATTTTAACTACCTCCACTCCTTGGTAATGTCTCTGGTTTTAAAAAGCAATGATTAGAATTTTAATAAAATCCAAACACATGAAACTGAATTTAGACATTTTTTTTGTTCTTGAGAATTTACAAAATTTAATTTTATATTTATAACATTCTAAAAACTTAAAATTAAAACTAATGCAATGTGATAATTATCCTTTACCAATTTATAAAAATTTACTAAATTATTAAAATATGTGAACCAATTCTATGGTAATTATTATTATTTATAATTTTATAAAGTTTGAATCAATTGGAATTAGACGATGTTTTGCCAACCATTCCAATAAACATTAGTGTTCATTATTTTTGTTGTCAATTCTCAAGGACATAGAAATATTCACTTTCATATGTTTGGGTTTTATTAAAATTCTAATCATTGTGTTTTAAAGCAATAAACATTGCTGTGGAGGTAATTAAAATAATAGTGGTGTCATGGGAGAAACCAACTTTTAGACACTCCCCCACCCCTATCCAAAATATAACTATACAATTTTTTATTTTTGGGGATCTGATTAAGGTTTTTTTTTTTTTTTTTTTTAAGAAATAAAAATTCAGTTTTGTTAAGAAATGTTATTTCTTGTCCAGAATGTCCTCCTTTTTGTTATTGACTGAAGCTGGCAAATTATCCATTTGGTCACATCTCAAACGAGCTGTCCAAGCCCCTTTGATGTCTACTTTACTTTTTGGTCCGCCATTTTGATTGTTGTCATCCAATACATTTTCTTTGGCTTTCAATCAAAAGATTTTGACAACTCTAAAGAAGTCTTTAAATTGAATTCATCTCATAAATATTTATAGCCTTTGAAGCGTGGAAAAAGAAAACCTCCTTTTTTTTTTTTTTTTTTCCTCTAAGCATTTAATAAGGTATTTTTAGAATCCTGTGTTCTTTAAGAAAGAAAGAAAAAATGATTTCCAAAAATAATTTTTTTTTTTTTTTTGTTGCTTGGAAAACCCAACATTGATTTCTTTTTTTAAAAAGTGAATATTTAGCTGCAAAATTCATTGACAATTGGCCATTGGAGGGACTTGAACACCAATCATTTTGGTTTTCTGCGCCTGTTATAATTTTAACTGATATAGGAACATGTTTCATTTTATGTATGTAAAACTCCCTCCTCTTATTCTTTTCTTCCAATTTTGTGATGATAAGAATATGGTAATAGCATTTTCGACAAAATCTTATTGATTTTAATCCATTTGGATTATCTCTTTGATGAATTAATGGGTTTAAATTGCAACAAAAACACACTCAAAAGTTGTGGCCTTTTTTTTTTTTTTTTTTAATTCTTTTGACTTGGATTGCAACTTTTGTAAATTTTATTTATTATTTGAATTATTTAAGTTATAAATATTTTTTCCAGTGTCAAAAAATATTCGGCTTCAACACGAGAACAAAAAAGGAAAATAGAAGAAGAACAATTGAAAATCAAAATCTTTGAAGAAAAGGTAATAAAAAAACCCCCAAAAAACAAACTTCTTTTTATTACCTGTCGAATTGTTTTTAAAAACTCTCAGGTTTTCTGTTCTGGATGCATGGAACATTTTTTTTTTTGTCATTTCTTTTTGATTCCCTAATTTTCAGATTTCGGAATTCGATTTCAAATTTTACTCAAAGCAAAGATTCTTTTTTTTGATCTTTTTGTAAATGTCAAGTAAGCATTTTTTTCTTGTATTTAAAAATGGTTGAAAGTTTTTTTCAAGAACATGTAATGTTCAAAATATTGAAACTTAATTCCTAATTTTAGTTTTCATTACCTGTCCTCCTCACTTTAAGTATTTTACTATAAGTGACTTCTTAAAACCCGCAATATGTTTTCGCATTAAATAACCAAGGAGTTGCTAAGCAGCAAAATATTTCCTTGCTTTCTCTTACCAATGTTCTTTATTGTAAAGAAATTCTAAATGTGGATCAGATCAACTTTGTAAGTTTTTCTTTTTCACTCTAGAATTGTAATTTCATTTTGCTTTTTTTTTTTTTTTTCCAACCATATCCTACTAGAAGTTCAAGTTTGGAAAATATAACGCAACATCTGGAAGTGTAATGAATTTCCTTTTGAGGTTGGACGCTGATCTTTTTTTGTTGACTTACATATTGAAGAAATAAAAACCTCAGAAAAATCTGAAAAACAATTTTCCAAAACTGAAAAGAAACATTTTGCTGACCAAACATCAATTTTTATGAAAAATATATCGTACTTCACAAAATTGATTCCAATGTTTTTCTTTTTGTAGAGAAAATCTCAAGAAGAAAAGCTGAACGAAGAAGTAAGTGTTGTGTTGTTGTGTGAAGGGATGCACTTTTAATAGTGACTTGGCCGAGTATGGTTCAAGGCTTCAATTATTGAGCACTTTGAAAAAACAAAACAATGGTTTCTCAAACCAGCCTCTTGTAGAATACTTTCAATTTGCTATTTGAAAAATGACTTAGATTTTTCCTTTTTCTCATTCTCTTCATTAAATTTGATCAAAGGCTCCAAATATAAATTTGGTAATGAAAGTTTCTCAAAATACTACTTAACAAATTCAAAATCTGTAATATTTTTATCTTTACTCGTATCTTTGTATTTATAAATTAATTGTGAATTTTGTTGTATTTAGATTCAGCTGCGATTGCAGTTGTCGGAAAAAGAACCTCCAATTCTTGAAGAGAAAGAAATTGAAAGTGAAGAACCTCCTTTGTTACCAGGTAAAAATGTTTTTTTTTTTTTTTCTCCATTGTTCAAATTTTGCATGTATCCAAAAGAGAAAATTACTTTGAAGGAAAATAAAAAAAATTTTTTTTCCCTTTGCAAGAATTTTAATCTATTTCTTTTAAACCTGCACAATTTTAAATGTTAAATTGAAATCTTGACTTGTAAACCTTTGTTTCATTAAAAAAAAAAAAAAAAAATGTTGTGGAACTGAAAAATCCGTTTCACCTGAATTCTGAAAAAAGAAAATTGTCACATTTTTATTTTCTAATTAAGCCATTAGCTGCATTGGCTGCCACGAATGTTTATTAAATTGGGTTTTAAATTGGCAAAATGGACAAAAAAAAAAAACAATCTTTTTTTTATCTTTTTGTTTGACAGAAATTACATCTGAAATGAAATCTGAAATTGAATCTGCTTTAAAACCTCGTCCGTCAGATGAAGTACTTGTTGAAGGTTTTCGTATCCAAATAAAGCGACAAGACATGAGCACACTGTCAGGATTGAATTGGTTAAATGACGAGGTGGGTTGCCATTTTTTTTGCTTTTCAAACAAAAAAGAAACAAACATCTTTAACTCGATTATTCAACCTGAATTTCTAAAGTGCAGAGTTTACTACCAGTTTTAGTGACATTCATTAAAATCCAGTTAGAAAACTCTATCATGTAAATGACATTTGAAAGCTGCCAGTTGACTAAAATCCACTTTACTAATAATAATACAGGTTAGTCTGTATTACTTTCTCTTAGGAATATATATATATATATATTGAAAGTCTGTCACCTCTGAGTGATGACTTCAATGTCCACTTTTATATTTACATATGCTCAATCTCTGATATTGAGCACTTTATCCCATAAATATAGCACACCTTAAAACTATTTCTTTATATATATATATATATATATATATATATATACACACACACACACAGGTGCAATAGGTAAATTGTTGCCATTTTATCTTAATTTTATGCATGCTTGTTTGCTTTTGATTTGGCTGACTGCACAGTGGGCAGTGTCTGTGAGAAAACGAGCACCATGAGACAATCCATTTCAACAGAAATTTGGAAATGGCATACTGTACTGTATGTCATGCATGTGTCAGAAGCTTCAATATGAACATTTCAGAGTGTTTGGGTGTCAATCTGGGTGCAAAGGATTTGGAAAGACTTGAATAAGTCTAAATTCATTCTGATTAGAAAAGAACACCCGAATTTGTTGGAGAGGGCCTCAGACTCCATATGAAAGCCTACATCAAGTGTGTTGAGGGGGTAATGCTGCCCTGGTCAAGAGGGAGGCTGATGGTAAACCCTATATCTGGCTACAGGACTCTGCATCATGCTGCACAAGTGGGAGAACCCAGTCATGACTATCAGACAATTTCTCTGACCCCATCACCCACTAACATTTGGCCACCTAACTCGTCGGACAGAAATGCCTTTTATTATTATGTATGGGGGCACAGTTGAGTGAGAGACCAACAAAACTCCTCGTAACACCAAAGATGAACTGAAGGCAAGGATTATGGCAGCATTCACCAACTTAAACAAGATCGTTTAGAAAAGATGTCGATAAATATGTCATAAAAGGAGATGTCAATGTTATTTTCATTTCTCTCTATCTCATAGAGATATAGATATATCTCTATCTATCTCAAATCCTCCTAATAATTTATCCACACACACACACACACACATATATATATATATATATATATATATATATAGCAAGTATTCATCCAAACAAGTTTTATTAAAAAGAACCAGCCAGGATTTTCAGTTTAATTTTTTATAATACTTTCCAATTTTCAGATAAGATTTTGAGTAGTATGTTTGAAGTTGTGGATAAACTGTCAAAAGTTCATCTTTTATTTTTGTTCAAGTACTTTTGACTTGTATCCGTTTTTTAACTATTGGTCACTGTTTCTACTTTCATAAGAGTTTGTTTTTTTTTTTTTTCCTCCTCCTCAACAGGTGATCAATTTTTACCTGAGTATGTTGATGAAAAGAAGCAGCAAAGGCAAACGACCAAAAGTACATTCATTCAACACCTTCTTTTACCCCAAACTTCAGAGTTCTGGTTATGATGGGGTGCGCCGTTGGACACGTAAAGTAGACATCTTTGCAGTCAAATACCTGCTTATCCCCGTGCATTTGGGGATGCACTGGTGTCTGGCTGTGAGTAAGACATTTTTGATATAGTTCTTAGTATTTGATTTCTTTGACTACTTTGTAATCACTGATTACTGAGCCGACACACAAAGTGGACACCACACGAGTGAAAATTTAAACAAGATAGATTAGGGAGGGGTGATTTTGAAACTTTTTTTTTATGATTTTCCAAATAAAAATTATGGCAACGAGTTTTTGGTTGAATTTACAAGTGTTGGTCTTAGACTGCAGAGCAGAATTAATGTCCTGAAATATACATTATTTTAAAAAAATTCTAAGATCAATTTTAATAAAATATTCATTTTGCTTAAAACCTGATTTGAAAGTAAAATGAATGATTAATTAAAGGTTAGATTCTGGTTATTCTTGAGGGTGGTGGGGGTTAAAAAAGCATGTCATTTTAAAATGGTGGAATGAATGTTTTGAATGACTACTCCTTTGTAAAAACGTCTTTATTTCTCTTTGCCTTTTCAGGTTGTGAATTTTACTGACAAAACCATTTGTTATTACGATTCAATGGGTGGGAAAAATCTGCAGTGCCTCGATACGATCAAGTGAGTAAAGTTACTTTTTATGTGTTGAGTGAGGGTTTTTTTTTTTTTAATTGTTGGAGCTGCTTTATCAATCTGACAGCGTTTGGAGATGGAAACTGACCAAAATGTCTGTGGTTACTGTGTCTAGGAATATGAGGCTTCAAAGGGAGAGTGGAGGTGGGTAAAGTCCTGACCTTAAATTTTGTTTATAGTTTTAATTTTTAAAAAGTGAAGCCATTTATAAAGTTTTGTGTCTCTAGGATTTTATTTGTGTAAAAAATCTTTTTTTTTTTTTCTCCTCCAATGTTTTAAGTTTTTCTTTTTTTGCTTTTCAGAAAATATTTATGTGAGGAAAGTTTAGACAAAAGGAAAATGCCGTTTAATTTGGCTGGTTGGACTACAAAACTTGCTCGGGTAAATGGGACTTGTTCAATGTTTGCCTTTTCTTAACAGAAAGAGAATTCCCTGAATTTAAATAGTTTTTTCTTTTTCAATTTGGAATTATCAAAATGTTCTAGAAACCTTATTTGATCATAAGACATGACTTAGTATTTCTTTAAGGAATTCAGGTTAATTATTAAACGATTTTTGTTTTGTGTAGAGAATTCCATTTGGGTTCCCTTGAATATATTTACATAAAAAAGTTCAGACTTTATTTACTAATTCTGAGTTTTGTAGAGATTAAATTTTTTAACAGAGGAAATAAGTTGCATTTTAATTTTTATTATCGCCATTATGTGAAATGTTGTAACCTGAATTGGACGCTAAACACGTTATTTTTCCATTATTGTCTAAGGAACTTTATAATGATAATTTATTCTTATTCTCTTGTTTAAAGGACATTCCTCATCAAATGAATGGAAGTGACTGCGGAATGTTTGCGTGTAAATATGCTGACTACATTACACGGGAAATTCCCATCTCCTTCACTCAGGTCAGCCACTTTTCCTTGACTTTTTCTTTCTTTTTTCTTCCCTGAAATAAAACTTGGACATTTTGGATTGTTTGGTGTGACACTAACAATTTGTTTCTTGAAAAGCTAAATTTGACAGGGCCTTAAAAAATTGAAGTTTTTTGTGTTTTTTCTCTTTCAGGCGGACATGCCCCAATTTCGGCAACTAATGGTCTATGAAATTCTGAAAAAGAAGCTGTTAACTTGAAATTCAAAGTGGGGGGGGGGCGGCTTCTCCTTCATTCTCATCTTTACAAGTCATTTCTACACAAATCATCCTTTATCAATTGCTGTATGAAAAATCATTTTTGGAATGCAAAAAAAAAAAAAAAAAAAATCATCATGATGCTTTAAGTGTCATCGCCCCCAGACTGAAAATCGGTTTTTGTGAAACTGATTATGTACAAGGATTTTCATTTTGAAAATCTAAAAAGGAAAACAATTTTTTAATGTCACAGAAAAAGAAAATTTGTAAATTTAATAACAATTCTAAAAGTTGACCAAAAAAACAAAAACTTCTAAAAGACTATTTGATGTTGGCGGCTGATGTTTACCTCATGAAGAAACAAAATCAGCCAAATTCCCACCAAAATTGTGGAAAAATAAATAAAAGGAAATTATCCAACAAAAGGTTTTCTCTTTACAAAAATGGGTTTAGTTTTATTTTATTTATTTTTTTTGTAAAAAGGTCTAAAATAAATAAAAGCCTCTCAAGGGAGGCAAATCTTGATGTTTCGACGGAAGCAGGTGGGGGTGAATCCATAAAACATATTCAAAACCCTAATATCTCAACTAAATTACCACTGAGTGTCCTTATTAGATTTAGCTGAGATGAAAGTAAATTTTGCCAAAAAATTAACTTGGAGAAGGAGGGGAAAGAAAAGACCAAACCTACCAGCGTTAACCAATTTTTTGCTATCTCATAAAAACTTTTTCCACTTTTTTTTTTTTTATTATTGCAACTAAAATTGTTTAACAATTTGAATAATCTAAGTTGTGATAAAATGCCCAAGAATTCCCCCACCTTAATTGTTACAACTTGAGTCTTTCTTCTAAATTAAAAAAAAAATAAAAAAATAAAAATAAATGTTGGAAAAGGAGGGGATAAAGATACCCTACATACTTATAAAATCTGCAATATCCTGAAAGAATAGAGTAGACAAAGAATTTCTTTGTATAAAATTCTGTAAATAAATAAATAAAAATTGTTTAAAAGGAAAAGAATTGTTCATTTATTCCGTTTTTATATTACTCCTCCTCCCCTCCCAAACAAAATTTTAATTTTTGCCAAAGGAAATCTTGACAGCTGTAAAGAAAGGGGGGGGGGTGTGGACAAACCCATAAGTAGGAGGGGTGGATAAAAAGGACATTCTGTTTGAACAAACAGCCAAAGATCTTGATGACAAGTTGATGCATTAAAAGGCAAGAATACTTTGATGAACCCTAAACTGACTGCAGGAAATTTCCTTTTGCTCAGAATCTTCAGTTGAGATGAATTCTAAATAGAAATCTGAAAAATTTAATTTGGTCTTGAGTTTTTAGTCTGGTTCTCAATGTTAAGGAGACTCTACCAATTTATTGTAATAATTTAAAAAAAAAAAAAAAAAGAAATAAATTGCTTTGGAGGTGGGGGCGTTTGGAAATACCAATTTGTATTTTCCTGGAATTAATATTTCTTGTAGAAATATTCATGTCCACCTGGGTTCCTTTGTCTTTGTGCAATAGGAATTACTGGATCCATTGCTGGCTAGTAAAGGATTTCATCTAACAGAAGCTGAATCCCTTCCCTCCCTTCAACTGAGCATAGAATCAAGTTCTTTCTTTACTAAGATCCCAAGAGATGATGGATTCCCATTTCGTTCTGCAGTTAAATTTATTCAACTTCATTATTAATTCGTTTTAACTTTCTCTATTCTTGTTGCTTTTTATAATTTTAAGCAGAATCAGAAGGAAAAAAAAAAAAAAAAGCCCTTGAAGAGATTTGAACTCTTATCCCTGATTTTTACAAGCATGTCTTTCATCGGGCTATGAAAGCACAGCTTAGCCAAAACATCTAGTCAATCCTTTTCCACTTTGTCCATTGAGTCCTGTAAACAACATGATGCTGTCTTACATGAAATGTCAATTATTAAATTCAGAAAACTCAAGATTCCTTGCAGTTTCAGGTCAAATAAATTGCCTTTTGAAATTCTTGAAGCTGAAATTTTGGAGCCTCCTCAAATCTAGAAAGAAATTCAGTTGTTGATCTGGAATTATCTTTGGGCAATCAATATAAAATAGCCTTAATTTGTATTTGTGCATTTGAGGGAGGTACTAGACCTAAAGATATTGCTTACTTTGATGTCATTAAGTTCATCAATTTAAAAACAACAAAAGATGAGTATACTCTTAACTTACAAAGTCTAAGATGAACTCTGACATTTGTCGGTAATCAAGAATCTAGACCCCCCCCCCATCCATAGGCTAAAATTAATCATGAACACATTGACAATAAGGTGAGGAAAAGAAAAACCTAGATGCCTGTTCATAGGTTTGGAAGAAGAGTGTTCTTAAAAAGATGTGGGAACAATACTGACCTTTTGTCACCTGCAGTAGTGCTTAAAAAAAAAAATAAATCCAGAGGACCAAAGTTGAAAACTTTTGGCAAAGAATTCAATCTAAAGTTTGTTTCCTTGAAAATGGTTTTTAGAAAAATCAGATCATTTGGTTTTGATTTTTTACTGATGTGAAAAGAATCTTTTCAACTGAACAATTTACAACAAAGAAAAAACTTGCTTCATATTACCATTCATTTTCTACCAGAATCAGACATGAAATTCCTTCTTAAAAATTTGAAAATCTAGATGCCCACTCATAGTCACTAACTTTATCTGATAGAAGAATCAACTGTGGGTATCATCATTAAAGAACTGACTGCTGTGGATTTTACAAGTATAAAGATGAAATTGCAAAGCAGAGAATTGAGAAAGACTAAGTCTAAAAATTTGGTTTGAAACTTAAAATCTAAATGTGAGGGGGGGGGAGGAGATTTGCTTTGAATGGTATTTGACATTGTGTGACACCTGTAACATCAAATGACCTGAAAAAGATTCCATTCTAAATTGTCTGTTGGATGGAGGCTCATGTGCACAGCGAGGCCCAGTATTGCTTTTTTTTCATCCTTATCTGAGATGATGATACCCCCACAAAGCAGCAATTAACAGGAGGAGAAGGAAAAAAAAAAAAAAAAAAAAATTACCATTCCACATATTGCAAAGATTATATATATATATATATATATAAAAAAAGATATAAGGAAAACTTACCTTAGCTGATGTGTTTTGTCCTCTGATGGACTTTATCAAGGCAAATGGAAGGATTATATGTTTTAAAATTTTAAATTGAAGAACACTCAAATATTCATCAGGTTAACTGAAAAGTCAAGGTAAACTATGGAAGATTTAATGTATTTAACATTTTTACTTTTGTTTATAAATACTTGTTGCAAAATAAAATCCTTTCAAATTTGCCTCAATAAAGTCTATCAAAGGATGAAACATGTCTACTAAGTTTTCCTTTTATCTTTATTCATTGTCTTTTTATAGATACATATTTTAGTTATCTCTGAAATTTTACAGTATGTGTGTAAATATATATATTTACACAGATTATCAGTGTGTTCATTATATATATATATATATGATGAACACACTGATAATCTTCAACATTAATTTTTTGTTAAATGGCAGAATTGAAATGAGCTGGAACAATGTCTGATAAGGGGGGTGAGAGAATAGCATAAAATGCCACTTGCTTATTTTTCTGTTAAAAAGCAGTTCTAGGATTCAGAAAACAACTAACAATAACAATGCAAGAACAGTTTCCTAAAATATATTTGCAATATGAGGAAAAGAGTTTTTTTTTTTTTTTTTCCTTTAGACTCAGCCCTTTTTTTTTTCTTCTCCCTCCTCCTTGTGACAACTCCTTCAAGATTGAAGTTTGGTGTCTCAGCTGAAAATTCTTTCCAACACAGACAAAGCAACAAGGAAATACAAAGAGGGCAGAAATTTTCGGAAAAGAGAAGCCAAGAGCGAAAGAGAGAAAGAGAAAGTTTTATATTTATATATATGTATATGTATATATATATAAAAAAAATTATTTTCTTTTTTTTGTTTTTTTAATCAGTCAGTCCAGGATTTTCCTCTTTCTTTCTTTCCTTCCTTCTCGAATGTCACCCCCCACTCCCAGGAAAGATTTTTGCCCCCCCCCATTCTTTTTGCAAGTTTTTTTTTTTTTTTTGGCCTCGTATTCTGAATATGGAATTTATTTATTTTTATTTTTTTAAAACTTTCAACAAAATTTATAGTCATCTTGAGGTCTCTCTCTCACACGTACACACACACAAATGAATTTTCAGAAAAAAATAAGTAAAATCTAAAGAAAAAAAGGTGGTGGTGGTGGGGGGGCGTTGCTTGGGAAAGACACTTTCATCTTTTACAAAACAATTTACTGAAACCTGGACACTCGGCCATGTTGATTGACAAAATAGTGACCATTATTAAGCAATTTGTTTGTCTTGTTTGTTTTTTAAAAAAAAAAAAAATCTGACGTGCATGGATTTTCTGTTTTTTTTCTCTTCCACAAACTCAGAAAGACTATGAATGTTGTCAAAAGTTTTAAATAAGGCATATTCAGGACAATACGAGGCCAGACCTAGACTTGCTCAGCCTCTAATCTTTTCCAAGTGATTTTATGGCCATTTTACCTGTCTTTTTGACAAAAGAGGAAAATCTTTTTTTTTTTTCTTTTCTTTCAGACGTGCAGTTTTCCTTTTCCATAAAAAGGTTTTGGGGTTTTTGACTGCTGCCAATTTTCTGGTTTTTCTTGTGTGTTTTGTTTTTGTAAAAGTCGTTCCTCCTCCTCCAGCCCCAAATGCCTTTCCCAATTTTTCCTTTTGCAATTTGGGGACCTTTTCTCTCCTGCAGACGAGCGAGACAATATTCCCTTGTCTTTTCTCCTTTTTCTTACTCCACTTGAAAACAGGATGGACGTGGGTATGGGAGTCGGAGTCAAATACTTCAGGGTCACTTACGTTTCACACGCCGGTGTTTCTGGTGCCGATTGTCCTCCCCACTTGAGCTGGACGTACTTGGCCATTCATCCTGTTCCCATGGCAACTCAAAATCACTACAAAAAAAAAAAAAAAAAACATGATAATGCCTCATTGATAACAGAGAGAGGGTTAAAAAAGCATGTCATTTTAAAATGGTAGATAGATAGAGACAGACAGACACACACAGAGGAATCAAAAGTTCATAAACAATTTTTTTTTTTTTTTTTTTTTAATATTCTGGATAAATTTTTGCAGGTTTATTTTCATGAATAAATTTCAGAAAATATGGAGTTAACCATTGTCTTCAATGGATGAAAACCAGCAAAATTCAAAATTGTTTAAATAATGCTGTAAATAAAAATGATTTGGGGATTTTATTGACTTCCCTCTTCTCAAACAGTCATTTCTTTCCTCTCACAATGAATTTATCAGGTTCCTTGTATTTTTTTTTTTGATGCGCTGCCTTGAAATAGTGCAGCATTTATCTTAGTAGCTGCAGTTACTTTTGAAATGAATGGAAATTAACCTTTTGTAAAATCCAAGATGCTAAGGATCCTGAATTTATGTGTGTCCAAAGTTTTAAGGAGGTGCTAAAAAGTCCTCAACCCAACCAAGAGGTAAAAAAAAAAACAACAACAAAAAAAAAAAAAACAATGTAATTCTAAAAAATATGAAGTAGGAATGATTTTGAAAATCTTGTTCCTAGTCAGTCAGTCACATGGCAAGCATTTTGAATATTTCATTTGTGAGGAATTGGATTTGCATAATTCTGAGCAATTCTGTAACAGGTCCTGTCAAGGATGAAGAGAAGCACAAAAAAAAGGGGAAATTGCTAAAATTATTGCTAGAATCAAACAACATCAACAGATTTTAGTTTCATAGATTAAGATGTTGGGAGGAGGAAGAGAAGAGATTTGCCAAATTACAGTACTTACGCGGGTTTAATGTAAGGAATCGGGTGACCAAATGCTGTCACTGGAACTTTGTCCGCGATTTCTATATGAGTAACTGCAAAAAGAAAAAGAAAAACAAAAACGTCACAAAATGGTTCTAAAATATTGACTCGACCTACTCACAAATATTGATTAAATGCAAGAAAGATGTCTGAAAAACAGATTTACAACAGCAAATATTTTTTTGCATGGATTTAAAAAGGAAAAAAGTTTCTTTAATAAGATTTTTCAAATATTCAGGCTGGTAGATGAAAATAAATAAATACTGTTTAATAAAATGGAGCATCTAATCAAATATGAGTGTCCACTAAAAATAACAGCCAAGTAATAAAATCTGTCTGATTAATAAATAAAAATCCATCACTTTAGAAATATATTACCTGACTAAAAACATATTGCACTCTTGATGCTGTACTTGTGTTTGATCTTTTGATGACTTTTATGGCTAACTTGAGACGCATGCAATTTATAAAGAGGAGTCACGTTAAAAACAAAAAAAAAAAACTCCAGCCAATCAATGTTGGAAATTGAATAAATTTTGAATTTTTTTGTTTTTTGGTCAGACAATGAAAATGAAGTTCAATTATTAGAATGAATTTAATTTCATTGATAAATTTTCTAGTCTGGAATAAATTTTGAAAATGTTTAATGGCTGACGAAATTTTTATTAGCCATAAAACATTCCCAAGATTTGACAGAAGTGTCAACCAGATCAGATGATTTAATTTGAGTTGAATGACTTACTATCATCGAGAGATGGGTAAAATGATGTGATTAACTGAGGTTCATCTTTCATGCTATCAGGATAAGGTTTGCCTCTTTCCCGAAGCCTTTCAAACAGTTTTTGTTCACGCATTCGCTGCAGATCCCATCTGGAAAAAAAAAACAAATGCATTTAAAAACTTTTTTTAACAACCAGAAAAGATTTTCCCCTAAAAATACAAATTCAAACAGATTTTATCTTTAAAACCATAAATTCTATGCTAAGTTTCTTTTCCCCATGCTTCAGTTTCCAGCCAACTTTAATCTGCAAAAATTTAAATGCAATGTCAATCGGTATCTACTGTCCTCCTGATGACTATTTCCTCTTCCTGCTTGTTATTAATGTTTTTGTTCCTAATTCTTCTACACCCTGTAACCCCTTGTGTCTTAGTGGCTTTACTGCCTTGTGTGCAGTGATACTGATCATAAGAAAAAAAAGAAAAGAAAAAAAAGTTCTTCAGTGCTGCACTGAAGTGCAAATCTGCAATCATAAACAATGTCTTTGAAATCAACAAAACTTTCACCAATTGCAGATGACAAAAACTTGTGATTCGACCTGTTTTGAAATTACCTATCTACCAACCATGATGACATGATTGCATATTGCCTATTTAAGTTATCAAACGATTCCTAAAATTGACATTGTCATGGCAACACATTGCATTTATCTTAAAAATTCAAAGTTGTCCCATTGGGAGGTAAATACAAAATGTAAAATTGTTCTGATGATGATAGATTTGGAGAATTTGTGAAAAATTCTTTTTTCTGTAAAGTGCAAGAATCCAGAATTCATCTGCCATTACAGTGGGAGCTTGTTATTTTATGTGGAGACATTTGTTTTGCTTGCTAAAACTGAACATTACAGCCAGGGAGAAAGAGATTGAAGATCCTAAAAATGCAATTGACAACATTGCCAACCAATTCTTAGATTCTGGAGAATGGTAAGCACAAATTCTTTTGGAGTTTTACAAATTTCACAGTCAAATACATTTGCTGAAAATTTGAATTTCTTTCAATGAATGACATCATTAAGGAACCCTATAGGGGGTTGATGTAAACCAAGCAACACTGGGTGGGAAGGGGAATTGGGCTTCCTTAAGTGATCCTTGACTGACACCTCCTTACACCTGGATATTAAGTGCTTTCTTGTGAAATCAAATTGAAATCTTGACTTCTGTGCTGATGGGTTAGGGGAGACAAGCAATTTATATTGCTATATAAACATGCACATAAATGAAAACACACTGTCCTAGCTGAAGTTATACTTTCTGATTGTAATGGAGAAAAAAAAAAAAAAAAAAAATCAATTTACTTACCTTTTCCTTCTTTTTTCTTCAAGTTCTGGTTTTTGATGTCTTTTTGTAAAAACTTCATCTTCCAGATTCTAAGGTGGGGGGAAAAAAAAAATTATTAATTATAAATCATTATCATTTTTGTGTTACTTGTTATATTAATTAATATTAATTTCATATATGAGGTGGGGAAAAAAACATGATAGAATAAAACACTGAACAAATATATATTAAGATTGACTTAAAATTCATGTCCATAAAATCTCAATATTACTAAAATTACAGAAATTTTTTTTTCTAAACTAGTCTTTCCCTTTCTCATTTGAAGTCAGTTTTTGTCTAGACCATAAATTTTGCTCCTCCCTTTAGTAGAGAAAATCAATTGACATTGAAAATGTACATTACATAAAAGTTGGTTTCAAACAAACAAAATGGTGAGGAAAAATACAATTAATGATTCAATACTTGCTCGAGTTGCAAACACTTAGGAAAGAAAAAAGTCTCTCCTTAAGGTGAAAAAACTCACAATGAACAAAGTAGCAGTTGCTTAACTGCAAATAACATGAAAATGTTCAGTCATTTCAATTCTGTTCAAGCCAAATTGCAAATGATGCAGATAGACAACCATAAAACAGGTACAAATGATAAAAATTTCCATTTGATTGAGCTTGATGGAAATTCTATTTTATCTGTGTGTCAGGGCATCAAATAGGGTCATTCGGTTCTAAAAACCATCAATCTATTACAATTCTATGACCCAAGAGCAAACTATGTAGCAATTCCCAACAGTTATAAAAAAATAAAAATGCATTGTTTTATATTTATTTTGGTTGATGGAAATTGTTCTATCCATGAGTCAGGGCATCAAATATTCACTCATTCTTCAAACTATGCCTAGAAGCCATTTAAAGAGTCTTTAAATTTTATTTTTTCTCATTCAAAGCATGGCATTTTTGTACAAAAATAAAAGGAGGAAAATCTGGAAGAGCTTCACTTCAATGGCATGTGAATTGTGCAGCTAAAAGGGAAAACAAAAAGATTTTTAACAAAAAAGATCTTTATTTCAATGCCACATGATTATTTGACTAAAAAGATCACAATGTTGGATTCGTACCAAGTTTTCAAACCTACCATAGAAAAGTAAATTTTTTTAGTTAAAAAAATTGTATGCTGCTCTTTTCTTAAGTTTACCTCTAACCGATTTTCTTTTGCAAGGTTTATGTTATTTTGTTTCTTAAATCCTATTAAAGTAAAGAAAGAAAATGAAAAGAAAAAAGGTAAGGAAAGAGAAGGGGGGGGTGTCTTCATTATCCCCTGCCTCAATTATAGTTGCAGTGGCATTTAGAAAGCTACAAGAGTTTGGCACCTGCTGCAAATGATGGCCAAAAGAAGTGGGGGGGGTTTAAAAGTTACAAATAAACACAGATAATTATACTTACTTCTGTCCCCTCTAATGTATAACAATTGGCTACAGGTCGTAATCTCCAATGGGGAATTTCTACTGAAATTTGAAAAGCATAATTTTAATCACAAATAAAACATTCAGTTAATATTTACTTAAAAAAAAAAAAAAAAATTGTGAGGGGCAGTAAAATTAAAGTTTACAAAAGATTTAATAAATTGTGAAATTTAAGACTTAAATTCATCCCATATGAAATGACCATACAGTCAAAAAATGAAAATTATGTTTGGGATAGACAGATAGAGTGCATAAACGCACACTCAGAACTATCCAAGCATTTGACCTTTAAATAGTAGAAAAAATTTGTAGAAACAGGCACACCAAAAGGCAATAAACAAGAGAATTAATTTTTTTAGGAACAGCACTTTTTATGCTTTTTAAATAAAGAAATAAATAAAATAATATATATATATATATATATATATATATATATATATATATATATATATATATATATTTACATTCCAGACACCATGGATTTGTGCATTCTTGGTAATGAAGTTGTCACTATTTTCCCCCTCTTTTTTTTCTCTTTGAAAAGTACACATGCAGTCAGTATTTTTGGCTTATTCTTCTTATGGCTTTTGATTTGCAGGCAAATATGCCAGGAAATCATATGACCTCACAAATCCTAGAGTTACCAGTTAGTCATTTAGAATCAAATCATGAATGAAAGATGTTCATATTATTAGAAAAAGTTTAAGTCATCAGCTGCTGATATCCACTGATCTCTAATGAAACACGGATTGATGACGACGACAGCTGTTTAAGGGTTAAAAGATCAAATAATGAAAGAGGGGAAAAAAAAAAAAAAAAAAAAAAAAAAATGACATTTTTTTTATTGAAACGGCAGAGTTCAGTCCTTTTTGTGGGCACTTCTGACAAATTTTGACCTCTTTTTACTAAACTGATATTTTCCTCCCTCTAAAGTTGATATTAATTTTTAAAAATCAAGATTTTAATTGAACTGCATATATGGCATTTAGTTACAAACGGTTCATAACTCGGAACAAAGAAATTGTTGAATAATGATCAAAACTTGAAAGGGAGAAAGAATTTAAGATCCTTGAGCAAATGTTAAAGGCTTTCAATTTAGAAATAATATCTACAATGATTTTAATGTTTGTGTGAGTGAGAGAGGTGGATATAAATCGTTATAATTTGAATATGTAAATGAAAAAAAAAAAATGTTTGTGCTTAATTCAAAGCCTGTTATGAATCAGTTAAAAGCCTGGGAGTTTCTTTCAATGTCAAGCTGATAATACATTTACTGCCTTAGATTAAAATGAAGACTTGACTGAAACTAGAAACATTCTAGAATATCAGAAATGAAGACAGAATCAAAATTCATCTCAGACTAAATCACATTTCAAATAAGATGATGCAAAAATGGTGATAGAAAAAACTCAAATTTTTTTTTTTTTTTAATTTTCTTCTTTTTGTAATATGCCTTTTTAAATTTAAATATAAATCAAGACCATTTATATTGCGGAATTAAAAAAAAATGAAGGGTGAAAAACTTATTACACAAATTTGAGAGCGATGGAAGCAAATTTTTGACAGCATCTTGTGAAACGCAGTTAATTCATCTTAAAGACGGCAAAAATCAATCTAGAAAACAGCATGAAGAAAAAGTACCCCCCCCAAACAAAACAAAAAAAACTAAAAACACGAGTTACCTCCCTTGTAACTTTATACACCATTATCGTCCGAAAGTTCGACATCTGTTTTCATTTCAACCTTCCCTTTAAATTCGTAAATAAGGTTTTAATAAACAGAAAATGATGTTTATATTTTTGTTAATACTTAATCATAAAAATTGGGTTGATTGAATTTCATACACAGAATTTTTAAAAAATGAAACGGCCCCCATTTTCAATCGACTTTTCTCATTAAACACACACACACAAGAAAAGAAAAAAAAAAGAAAAAGAAATCTCGTTTAGATTTTTTTTTGAAAATAAATATTTGTTGATATTTTAGCTCCTATTAAAATCTTCAAAAACATTTTGAACAAATGTTTTAATAAAATTATAATTTTGGATTGGAGATAAAAATAGTAATTAAAGTATTATATTAAAGTTTATTATGAATGATTGGAATGATTCAATGTTTTTGTTTGATTACTTGAGGAAATGGTACAAAATTAGAAATAGAATGTATCTGACAAGAATTGAATTCACATTTCACGTTAGCTACAGAAGCACGGATACAGACAACCTCATCTAGTTGAGATGGTTAAGGCGACGCCATAAAATTGTACAAATAATGATGTGCATCGACTCCAACAACCAACACAATTGCAAAATTAAATATTTCCAGTGGTATGAATTAAACTAGTTTCAAAATAAAAAGACGGCTAAAGTTCACTTAACAGTCTACAAAGAGTTACGTCCCCTGAAAATGGAACGGCCGATTTGAAAGCCAGATCCAAAAAATGTTTGAAATATGATATCGAAGATTTTGCAATAATTTAAATTATCAAAATATCAGACACATTTATAGAATAAGAAAAATTAGTTTTAATAAAAATTCTAAAATGATCAGTGTTGTGTACTATTTTAGACAAATTTGCAAAAACAATTTTATTGTCATGTCCAGACATTTTTTTGAAAACAGAATAATGGTGGATGTTTGGATTAGCCTCATCTAAGAAACAAAAAAAAAAAAAAATTAAAAAAAAAAAAAAATTGTTACATGTTCTTTATCTAAATGAAGAAAACTGAAACAGTATGGCTATAATTAATTCTCTTTTAAAAACCTTTGTTCCATCATTAAAATATTTTCTAGGGAAGAAGATAAAAAGATAGAAATAGATTGCCTTGGGTTCATTTATGACTACCCTTGAGAATTTATCTATTGGAGAATTTGAGAATATTTATGGATAATCTGAATGTTTTCCTTCTTTCTTTTATTCAAAACTTTTTTCTGTACACATGAAATTTGGATGAAATTGATCCAATAATTCATCTTCTACACAAACCACCTTTCCTTGAAATATTGACATCGAACTTGCTGTAAACAAAAACCTATCTTAAAACCATTGAATGAAAGGGGGAAAAATACTTTACAGTGTAAATAGAGATTAACACAACACTAAAGTCAGCTATTTCTTGTAAACCTATCAGAAAGAAGCACATTTCTTCAAACAAAAGTTTTCTCCCTTACATCAGAAATTGCCAATCAAGGAACCACCACCTCCACCAATGGCTTAAAAAATTATTCATTTGTAATAATGTGTGACGAAATAAAAGTTAATTCAGTTAAGATCATTCTTATCCTAATTATGAATACTGTCATGTGTGTGACAAAAATAAGAAAAGCAATTGAAACGAAAAGATCAAATAATAAACAAAAAAGGTTTTATTTTAAGTGATTTGGTCAGTTGACTAAATAGGGAAAAAAAAACAAAAAAAAATAAAATAAAAAAACAATAGAGAATTACTGTCAAAGTAACTTCATTCAGGAGTTGCTGAGTTTTGTCACATGATATAGTTTAGTTGTCTGGTCAGTGAATGGCAGTAAACAGACTGCTCTCAAGCAGATTTCTACACCAACTGAAATTGCCAACCAACTTGCTTAACTTTGGTATCAACCAATGAATACCCGGATGAAGCCCTTCACTTTGTTGTAAGATTATCTGGCCACATCAAAGAGTTCTTTGAAGTCACTGATCTAAATTAGGTACCTCCAAAAATTTGCTAAAAATCAGTATAGCATAATGATAAAAGGCCAAAAAATAATAAAAAAATACTTTGTTCTTTGCTCTTAATGATAAACATTTTAATGATAAAACTTTGTTTTTATTATTTTAAAAAAAAATTTTGTCCTTCTTTCTAACACATTCTAAATTTTGGTTAAATCTTTGTCAACTTTGTACTACCTGTGGTAATGGCCATATTAGTGTAGCAGTTTCTGGAGGGAAACCCATTAATTTGTAAATTCTTGTAAAAATCAAACAATTGTCCGATTAAAATCAGACAATTATTTGATTTTTTGATGAAACTTTCAGGACTTATTAAAAAATTAATGAATTTATTTTTGAAATTTTTATTTTTAGAAAATCTTCCTAATTTTTTTTTTTTATACATCTGTTACCCACCCCATAACATGATTTTATGAAATTTTCCAGAATTTCAAACAGTTTGCAAATTGTTTTGTATTACTTATAAGTAGGATTCCTTGGAAAAAGTAAATCATCAATTTTTTTTTTTTTTCACAACTACTACAAACTTTTTAAAAATATAACTGCAATATAATAATTTTATTAATATTATCAATGTAAAAATGTAATAATGGAGAGTGAGATAATTTAATTATTAATATAATAATTTTATAAGTTATTATATCCAGGTTATTAAATTAAAAATGTAATAACTGATAATATAATGATTAATAAAATTATTTATCATATTATCTACCATTATAGAGATAACTCAATGACTTAGGAAATTTTTATAGTATTTTAAATTATTATAAGAAAGAAAAAAAGAAAAAAAAAAGTAAAATATTAGAAAACTGCTTAAAATATTTTAATTTTTAAACATTACCTGGTAGTTAAAAAACAAAATGTTCTTACTTAGAATTTTAAAATTTGTATCAATTCTGGTCCACCATACTAAACCTGTCAGCACATTCAGTCATCAAATTATCAATGGAGACTTGAGACAAGCAAAACTCCAAAGAAATACTTGTCTAGAAAATTTGATGGTGTAAATAAGTAATGTTGGTTTCAAAACAGATTAATTTAACTTTAAATTTGCTAATTTTATGAAAGTAATGTTTCAGAAACATATATGTTATTTTAGGCGGGATTTTTAAAACAAAATAATTTTTGTTTACATTTCTCTAAAAAATTTAAAAATGGCCGTTTCAATTGGTTTTTCAGAAGAATTAACTAAAAATCATTATAATTTCTGTTTGAATTACAGTGTTTTGTTTTCTGGAATCAGAAAATTTATTCCTTTAGCTTTCAATTGAAGCGGTTTAAAGCTTAAAAAATGATTTATCATTTATGAAAAACACCTTTAAACCTTGTGTATATGAAATTTTTGGAGGTACCTAATAACCCAGAACTCGAAGTTATATTTGCAAAAATAGATTCTCTTAACAATACCTATGTCATTGGTATATGCACCTTTCTTTTATCTAATTGCAGGTATGCTTTATCAATCAATTGATGTCTTCAATAGGTTTAACTAGAAACAGTACTTGTTTAAATCAATCATTCCCTTCTTCAAAAAGAGCTCATAATAGAAAACCAACCCTTTTACAATTTGAACCAGTTGAAAAGTAGCTTCTTTTTTTATTTCCTGTCAGTTTTTAAAACAAAAAACATTTTGGGGTAACAAAAAATATAAAGCATAGGCAAAAATTAATTTGACAAACGCAAACGTTTTCCAACTCACCTTTTGAGCCATCTGGATTGATTTCATCGTTTGTATGCCGTATGTTGACCAAAAGTTTTTCAGAGGGAAGAGGTGGTTCATAGTAAGAAACATAATACAAATTGTCTGTCCGTAAAATAACATCTCCATTCTCTGACAGTTCTTGGCACCTATTTACAGAGTCACTGCTCCGATAGGAAAGTTTGTTTTTCATTAAAGACTGTGTCTTGGATTTTGTTGTTTCTGACCCTTTCTTCTTCTGAACATTCTGAGCATCAACTCCAAATTTTCTGATGAGCAGGAGAAAACAACAACAACAAATTATTCACATAATTTATCTCATCTTTAGAGCAAGTAATTTATTTTGGGTATCAAATACTAATTACCTACAAACTATTTTTTCATCAAATTTGTTTATATAAGGATAAAACATTTTTAACACCTTGTTAGATATTTGTTTCATACTTTTTTTTTTTTTTTTTAAATCTTCAACAAGGTTGAGTTTATGAATTCATACAGAATTAATATCAAATGAGTAAAAGCAAAGGAAAAAAAACAATGTAATTTATGAGAACAGGATAAGAAATATTTTAGAAGAATTTCGTTTTCTTTATCAACAAGCTTTTTCAAAACACATCTTAGGAATATTTAAGTGAAAGACAAAAAAGAAGCATTTCAACTTGACATTCTTCTTCAATCAATCAATGCATATAAATCTAGATTGATTCGGGGATTTAAAGGGATGAGCAGAATCGCCCAATTGTTAACCAATTTGTTGCTGCTTTAAAATGGAACATAAAAAATAGTTTTTAGTTGTCCTTCCAATAGCAACTTCACATTAAAAATGCAAGTTTTTTTTTCTTCTGAGTATCGCGCTTTTGGTAACAAGGGAAGTAATGCTTAATATGAAATATTTTAACAGAGGGAGATAATCCAATTCAAATTGAATAACGTAATGGTTCTCATGCACTAAGAATTCCAACCTAATTATCATGGTTTTTATTTACCAGTTTGTTGATAACTCTTGTGGCCAAGAAAACATCTGAACAAGTTTGCAGACATTTAAATTTTTGAGAGGATCTTAAAATCAATGTTTTTTTTTTTTTAAAAGAAAAAGAATCTTACTCTACAGAATGTTATTGTTAGTTGATTTTGTTTAGCAGCATATCAACCTCTGCAGGTTTAAGGCTGAAATCTAAATATTTTGCTTTCAACTACAGATAAAATGTATTGTCAGTCATTTCATTATAAGTAGGTATTCTTGATAATTTTTAATATAAAAATATATTGCTGGTATTTTCACATTTTCATAGTGTTTTGTTTGAGGGTTCACCATTTGCCCACAGCCAAGACCTTAACACCTTAGATTTGGGAATAACAGCAATTAAGAGATGGTTCCACGTTCTTCAAAACCTTCAATCTTCCGATCAGATGCCTTTCTGTTGGATTGTAACAAAGTTGTACTTTCCCAAATGAAGAAATTGGTTTAAAAAGAGAAACAATATTTTCAGACAAGGAAACCTTACCTTTCTCTTCGCTTGAGAAAATTAAATTTTTTGTTTCCTCTGTCACCGGTTAGACCATCATTGCTAGCCTGGCTCTTTGGCGTGTGGTGGTGATGATGGTGGTGGTGGTGGTGGTGAGAGTTCACCGGCTCGCCCTTCTGTTTCAGGATAGACAAGCGCCGCTCCATACGATCCAAACGGCATTTTAACTAAATGCACAAAAAAATAAAAAAACATTTAGTAAAGATGTATAATGAAAAACAATTTACAAAAAAAAAAGAAAAAAAAAAGTGTATTTACAGAGAAATTCACATTCATTTGATAGAAAGAGTTTAACAAATGTTTACAACACCCAAATTAAATAAGTCTTAAAAAAAAAAAAAAAAAAAAATTGCTGACAAAATTTTAGTAATCTCAATTTTCAGACTGTCCCCAAAATTTCATTCTTATTGTTTTTTTTTTACTAGTTTGGTACGTATAGTTTTGTCAATGGCAAGATGATTAAATTTAAAATCTAAATTGTTTACCCAATTATTAGAAAATATATTCAACTTAAATACAGGAAGTCATAAAAATGACTTCAAAAAGGGGATTGCACATATTGGTTTATACTTTTTACCAGATAGAAAGTGAAATTAGCCTTTGCAGCACAGATGAGATTTTCAATTTTATTCAAACTTTGTGTGAGTATGTCTGCATAGTTTAATTCAATGACAGACCTAAAAATATTTCTACAAAATTACACACAAATATTACTGAATAACTTCTGAAAAGTTCAATAAATATGATTATTTCATAAAATCACATTAGACAATTCGTTTACTTTTTAAATAGTAGCATCTACCCAAAACATGGGTCTCCACTAAAATAGTGTTTAAAGTGATAAAATCTGTTAGATTAATAAATAAAAAAAGAAAATGAATTGCTTCTTCATGACAAATGGAAATCATTTCATTGAAACTAGATTTGATTACCCTTATAGGTTTCATTAGATTAAAAAAAATGAAAGAAAGAAATGTCTATATGTGTATATGCTTAAATAATGAATAATAGTAATTTTTGTTTTGGGATCTGAAGCCTAGAAAGGCAAAACGTGGAATCAAATCTAGTTTCAACGAAATGTTTTCTATTTGTTAAATTTCTTAAAAATTGTTGGGATTCTACCTATTTTAAACACACGTGTGTGTGTGTGTGTGTGTGTGTGTGTGTATACATACAAAAGGAAGACCTATCTTAGCGGACGTGTTTCATCCTCTGACATTATGTATGTGCGTATACATTAAACAGTACAAGCACATGTAAGTCAGTTATGCACAACACAGGCATATGGATTAGATACTCTTATGCAAAGTCATGGACAGACAATCATCCCCTTCATAGATTCTTGACTTCTCACTAAAATGTTTCTATAAATAAAACAGTTTTATTATATTTAATAACAGTCTTGCCAGAAATTAGTTCAATATTTCTAAACCAACTTGTCACGTGTTTTGTTCATTTTTATCAATCAAAAGCCTAGGGCAGTCTATTCACAAATATTTTCTCTGCTACACAATAACATGCGAAAGTATATAAACGCTGATTAAACGTTTGGTTGGCAGTAAAAGATGCTAATCAAATGTTTGCAGCTTTCATTATCTTTTCAAAATGGTGTTTAAATCGTCTGTCTTGATTTTGTTCAACCGGTTACAGCAGTGTAGTACAAAATTCCTTTGTCTTGTTAACTAGAATTTAACACCAGTATTTCATTGTCTTATTTTGCCAAAATTGACTGCAATTCTTTCAAATGTGAATTGAAACTATATTAACCTTTTTCTAAAACATTAGGGATTAACTTATCTTGCAGTCCAAACATTGGTATCTTTAGTAAAGATTGAACTTGCTACAAATGTACAATATATGTGTGCTAACTACTACTCTACAGTAGGAGTCAAAATAACCAGGAGGAAGAAAAACAAGTTTTCTACAATATCTCCTCGCAAACTCAACCTGCTGTGAATCTCTTTCAAATGGGGGTGAGGGGAAATTAAAAAAAAAATACAGGTAGAAAATGTCATAACATTGGAGAATTTCTCAGGCATTTATGAAAAAAACAAGGCAAACAAGTTGAACTGGTAATGAGAGAGACATGATAGATGGTGAAGACGTAAGACAAATATCAAGTGAGAAGTTGACTTCTGACAGCCATTTAGCAACAACAGTAACAAGCGACACTTAAAGATATTAATTTAGGTGAAGAAAATTAGCCCTTTTTGAAGAAGAGGGTAAAGTGACAACATTCCTCACTCAATTCTTAAATGTAATTTCTTGATGATGATAAACTGGATATTCCTAAAGTACATCAGTTTAACTCTGGTATAGGCAAAAGAAATTCTTTTTTTAAGACATTAGAAACAAAGTTGAATTCACATGATGCATGGTATGTATATAAAATCAAAATGGTATCGAAATTTGTTAAAATTCAGAACTGGAGAAAGATTTTTAAGATTGGATTTTTGGGTTATTTTTGTCAGAACAATCAGGATGGATGGAGATATGTTCTTTGTGAATTTAAACACCCATTGGCAATTGCTATCTTTTCGTAAATAAAAAGAAGGCGCTTTGACCAAATAAATTGTTTAAAAAAAAAAAAAAAAAAATAGAAATTATCCCATCGTAATTTCGGGAGTAAATTTTATCTTATTTTCTTTTTGACGAGAAGTTAAGACTAAGAGGAAGACGAATTTCTGTCGAGTGAAAATTAATTTGTAATTTTTTCTATTTAATGTACGAAAAAGCAAATACACCGATTTTTTTTGTTAGTCAACGATCTTTTTGTTGGGGGTGAATGAAGGAAAAAAAAAAAAATTCTCTTGGGATTTTTTTTTTTACAAACAAAAATCCCAACTTATATTTCACATGTCTCTTATTATCTGAACATTTTAAAAACCAAAGTTTATACGAAATTATTATTATCCCGAAACATTTTAAACTAAAGAAATAACGAAGATGCTAAATAGTTTCGCTAAAAAGAGAAAATCCTTAAAAATAGGTGGGGGGGAATAAAAAAGGGTCACATTTTTATTCGGATTCAAATAAACTTTTTTTAAAACCAAAATCAAAGAAAAATATTAAATACATTGTCAGTTTATATTGCAATTAAATGTTCGAGTCATAAAAAATAAAATAAAACTAAAAGGGAACCAATTTTTAAATAAATAATATACTGGAGTCACATTTGAAGCCACTAATAATGGCGACAAAGCCACAAAAAATGTTTGCCCCTTTTATTTAGAATTTGTGACACGAAAGCATTGATCACAATCGATGGGTAGACATAATTTGTCGTCACCGGATTTAAAAACTAAAAAAAAAAAAAACAACTTTGACAACTTTTGAGATAACGATGATATTCCCGTTCCCAGCTTTTTGTTAGTTGATCGATTAGTTTTGCCTGGCATGCATTTGTGTACATTTCAAAATGAATGCAGAAAAACGACCTATATTTGGTTAAGTATGGAACATAATAACAGAATTGTGTTTTAATGTTTATCAAGTTAACTTCACCTATATTTTAGATATGGCTCATTTGAACTTAACAGGAACGTTGTTAAAGAGTTTTCTTTTAAAAAAAAAAAAAATCTGAAAAATTTCCCGTATAGTAACAATTCTGAAGGTGTAATTTAAAAAATATCTAGATTTTATCATGAGTTTCTGTTTACTCACACTTTCAAAATGAATTTAAAACTAGTAATTGAAAAAATAATATTTAAAAATTGTCAAATAAAACTAAAAGGGAAAATAACCAACAAAGTCCCTTTCACAGTCAAGTTTTTATTTCAAGGAAAATTATCATTTTTTACGAGTAGAATAAATTATTTAGACTTGAATATAACATTAAACTTAACTAAATTACATTCATTAATGATTTATGTTACAAATATCGCAGTGTAGTCAAAGTTCAAACTTAAAATCGCTGAACATTCCCTGTATTTAAAAAGGTAATGAATGAAATGTGTTGTCACCGACTTTCTTGTGTTCAAGCACGGAACATATACATATACTCGAGTTTTCCTTACATAATTTCCAATTTGTTATTGCTTTCTTTAATGTATATATATATATATATATATTTTTTTTTTTGCACGGAAACGAAAACCTATTTTTCGGGTTCCAGATTTGCGAGATATTTTTTCCGGGTTGTCCTCTACGCATGCGCATAATGATTTAAATGGCAAATTTAACTATCAAACATGTTTCCCTTTTTCGCGTTCAGGCTTTAAGGAACTTTTTTACTAACCCACTTCAATATGGCAAAGAAAACTCAATCTACCCCGGGTTCATTGATAAGTCGAGATTTAACTAATTAATTGAAAAATACGGTAAAGATTAAAGTTAGGTTTCAAAAATGGAAATCGGATAAATTTCCGTGAAACGAACGAACAACCATTTGTTTTAAAATTGCATTATTTGACAGCGAGAAAAATATCTATTGAATTCCATAATACTTTAAGACAAGAAGAAACCTTCCAGAAATGAGTTGTCGTTTCACCGTTAAACATATTTAGGAAAGAACTTTAGTTGAAGCACCATCTCATTAAGAAAAAAAAGAAATAATAATAATAATAATAATAATAATAATTATAGATCGGGTTGGGGGAGGTACTTACAGTAAATCGAGAATTACCACTCCCCTCCCCCAGTTCGATTCCTTCAAAATCACCTAAATTTGGTCAAGGAGTGACTAGTCGATGATGTCAAAATCTCGCGCCCTCTTTAAAAACAGTAAAAATTGGATCGCGATTTACTCCAGAAAACATGAATTTGACAGAATTTAACAAGCAATTGTCAAAAGAAATTTCTGTTTACTTAGTAATTTATAAGATAATTTTTGGCAGCTATAGAATACAAAACCCGGTTAATGAACACTAGAATTTAAATGCCATTAAAAATGTAAAACAAATGAATTCTTCTAAAAAGGTCTGAATAAAGAAAATTATTTCAATATTCGCAACATAATGCTGATAATCTTTTAAAACAAACAAAAAATAACCGCAACATTAACCGAAAAACTAGGACTTTTTTACTTTTATTATTAGGTCAACACAAAAGATTTTAGTAAATTATTAACAACATAAGACACACGTGGATTGACATATTGCACCATCCAAATCGATTTATATAAATGATATTTATTAATAAATATATC